GCGAGCTACAAAGGATACAAATTTTGTATGACGGGAAAAAACGACTTCTAAAACACTCGAGACCAGAGTGAGATGGAAGAAACGAGCAGTTTTTGAGAACTGGAGAGACGGGGCAGTTGGGGTGGATCAATAGGAATCAATAGATGAATGGCTGGTTGTTTCCATCAATCAATGACGTCAGATGTGCATGGTCGCTCACGTCAAATATCATTGTGATTGGAAACTCATTGGCTCGATTTACTTGTAAGTTAAATCTACTCTAAAAAAGAACAATGAAAAGTAAAATAAAGACACTCGAAAAAAAAAATCAAAATTTAAAAAAAAATCTCTAGAATGAGAGACGAGAGAAAAATGTGTCAAGCTTTGATCTCTGCTCGAGTGTCTCTTGGGATATCATCGCTATGGTCGGCTTATGGGGAGTTTGATCTTTGCCATCATATCTTATCAGGGCAGCGGTTTATTCGCTGATGAATGAATGGCTGATAAGTTTAGGTGCTGGGATGGGGGAGGATGAGGTGTGTTGTGGGGAAGTATAGCTTAGGGATGCTGGGGAGGTGAATCAATGTCTGGCTGATATTTTACGTCTCTGGGAGAGTGAGGTGGAGTATAGTGATAGATATAGCACAGAGGCTTGGTGCGCTATAAAATGGAGGAGCTAGTGATATGGGTGAGTGTAGCATAGGGCAGTCGAGGAATAACTGCGGACATCTATAAGGTAGGCTGCATGATATGGCAGCGCTCGGCACGTTACAATATATGGGTCTACCACTGTTTTTATAGGATACAATACGCCACTGCTTTTTTTAAAAGCTATTAACGGGAAGAATACAATATACCACTGGGTTTTTAAGCTAGTAACGGGAAGAATACAATATACCGGTTTTTAAGCTAGTAACGGGATGAATACAATATACCTGTTTTTAAGCTAGAAACTGGAAGAAAACAATATACCACGTTTTTTTTAAAGCTAGTAACGGGAAGAATACAATATACCGGTTTTTTAAGCTAGTAATGGGAAGAATACAATATACCGGTTTTTTAAGCTAGTAATGGGAAGAATACAATATACCGGTTTTTAAGCTAGAAACGGGAAGAATACAATATACCGGTTTTTTAAGCTAGTAATGGGAAGAATACAATATACCGGTTTTTAAGCTAGAAACGGGAAGAATACAATATACCGGTTTTTTAAGCTAGTAATGGCTGCTAATCTCCGCGTGAGCAGATGCACCTGCAGTCAGCACTAAAACCTTATCTGGGGTAGGAAAAACGTGGCCATCATCCTAGTTGTAGCTCTGACGGGAATTTTCTTGTTGGCCAGATAATCAAGTCGGAGAGTTTTATGACAAAGGTTACAGAGATGAATCGACGTCAATGTTTTGCCCATCTAAACGAGATGAACACAACGTTGTAATCCTGTTGTCCTTGCAGCTAGTCGAGGTTCACGTAATAGCCCATAGAACCAATGGTTATGTGCTTTATGAGTACAACACACGTGAGTAAAGCTTTCAAAAGCAAAATATGTCAAAAGCTGAACCACGCAGCGCCCTCTCATTAAAGCAACTGTTTCCTGTCTAACCTGCGGCCAGTAATTGCCTCAACCGACTGAACGGCTCAACGGGAACACAAAAAACAAAACGAATGCAGGCTTTTTAAACGGGAAGAGGTGGGCCATTTAAGCATTAAGTCGTTCGAGTCACTTTCTTCTATAAATAAATAATCCTAAGGCACGAGTAGTGAGCGCTTAGGTAGCCAGAGAAATATACCAGTATTGTGACTAAACTGTCAGTATGACGAGTTGGTGATGTATGCCTGGAAATGTAGGCCGTAATTGCTAATTACGGCTGTAGTTGATTAGCATCAACGAATGTCCATTTGCTAATGACATCAGCTAAATGTACTGGCACCCAGCCAAATGTTGTCTGGAGTCGATACAGACGTTAGAAGGGGGGGGGGGGGGGGGTAGCTAATTGATAATACAGACAGAGCTCTGAGACTGAATTAAAATCAAGCAGACTGGCGTCTAAATTGTGCTGTAGAAGACAGGAGGACACTGATTTCACTACACACTTTTTAAAAGTTAAACAACTAGAAGAATTGTCTCAGCTTTAGTTGAATAACAGTGAAATTAATTAGTGTAGTTGAGAAGGTTAATATCTAGTGGGGGAAAACTCCACTCAGGGTAGACTGGCTGTGTCTCTAAACCCGAGATTCGAATTTTCATTGATCTCAATTAAGGCTTGAGTCCGCATGACGGGTTAGGCCTACAAAGAAAGCCACTGGTCTTTTTAAAACACACTAAATTCTGGTATGCGTGTAGTGTGTATCTATTTCCGTGGTTTGTAAATCATAGGAAAGTAGCCCTGTGGTTTGGAATATCCTTATGTATAGTTAAGCAGTGACATATGTTTAAACTTATAATTTTTTCAAAAAATCAAAGCACTATTAGGATTATTACAGCACCGTTCCTGGGGTCCACCTGAAATTTTCCCGGTAGACCGGCAGGCCAGTCCACATTGTACACACATAACTAAAACATTCGATTGATACCCTCCCCCTTCCCAGTAAATATTTTAACGAACCAAATGGTGATGAAGATTTATCTACTATTTAAACACTGTATGACTGGAGCCTCAAAGGATCAGGTAATCTATTCACACCGCAGGTAGACGGTTTAAATTTTTTTAAGCAATAAAGAGACGCACACCCCTCCACACATAAACTTGCCCGGCTTCACGCTAATTTGCTTACGTTACGTTCTATGAAAGTGCGGTAAGGAGACATTCCATTTCAAGCCGAGGGGTCACTGGGCTCGTGTTAATGTCTTCTATCTGTCGCGGGTTATCGCGTGAAAGCAAACGTCTGTATAAAAATAAATAGGTTTTATGGCTTGAGGAGAGCGGACCAAGTCATACAGGCCGAGCTAAGTAGAGCAACGATCCAGCAGTTGCTGGGGTGGATACATCCACAAATCTCTGCTATCACCTAGCATCTCTTCAATGTTTACACAGTTCTAACATTTTAAAATACTGTTTTCATCAAGAGAACCGAAAAAACATCAGATACTAATGGGCTCAAATAATAAAAGACAGGCTGACATGATGGTAAAAACTAACCAAAGTTTGTGGTATACTTAGAAGAGATATTTAAAAAACAATACATTAAAGTTTGCCTGTAGTTTATACAGTAATTTGCAACATTGAAATTGCTAGTAGTTCAGGCAATACATTAAATAAACCGGGAGTGATCTACCCTAAACTTTCTCGAATATTCTTATATAAAACAACAGGGGATGGGAACTCGGGATATAGTTATGATTTTTAATCCATTTTAAATACTTAAACTTTTTAAAATAGAATAGAATCTCATAGAAAAAAGAATTGCGCACCAAGCAAACGCCAAAACAAAATGTGCATGATAGTACGGAATATTATTAGTACTTTATAAATTTACAAGCGTTTTTTGAGAAATCGGAAATAGCGTAAATTTGATAGAAGGGAGAGGATTAGATCTTTTACTTACGTGTGAAATTTCCTTTATCTATCTGAAATAGTACTCAAGTTAATGGCTTTTGAAAAATTCAAAGTGAAAAAAGTACCACTTCCGGTTATCTGAAATCGCTCAAAAGTTGATACGGATCTACGATTTTGATAAAATACTTATTTGTAAAATTTCATCAACCTAGCTGTAACGGTACTCAAGTTATAGTGTTTACACACACACACACAGACAGACACACAGACAAGATTGCAAAATTATGTTTTTCTGTATCAGTGAGGTGTAAAACGTCGATATTTGTAAAAATCTCAATTTTTTTTTTGCACGATTACAAGACTTTCTCTATACTTTGTATATACGAGAAAGTAAAAAGTAAGCCTCAGAAAGCACACAAAATACGTTTAATAACAATCAACTAATGACTTAATTGACCTTTATGTTTCTTTTCCATCTACTCACCAAAAAGTATGATAGTTTGCTCACAGATTAAAACAAATACTAAGATCATATTTGTAAATATAATTTAAACTATTAGCATCACTGTACCTTCTGTACCATCCCTTATTAGAACAAACCTAATATGATAGGTCCCAGAGGTTTGAATTTGGTGATGGTGATATCAGTGAAGTACCTAACACTATGTGATATATGTACCTAACACAACATTAGATCTGTACCTAACACAGCATTAGATCTGTACCTAACACAACATTAGATCTGTACCTAACACAACATTAGATCTGTACCTAACACAACATTAGATCTGTACCTAACACAACATTAGATCTGTACCTAACACAACATTAGATCTGTACCTAACACAACATTAGATCTGTAACTAACACAACATTAGATCTGTACCTAACACAACATTAGATCTGTACCTAACACAACATTAGATCTGTACCTAACACAGCATTAGATCTGTACCTAACACAACATTAGATCTGTACCTAACACAACATTAGATCTGTACCTAACACAACATTAGATCTGTACTAAACACAACATTTTTAGATCTGTACCTAACACAACATTTTTAGATCTGTACCTAACACAACATTAGATCTGTACCTAACACAACATAAGATCTGTACCTAACACAACATTAGATCTGTACCTAACACAACATTAGATCTGTAAATAACACAACATTAGATCTGTACCTAACACAGCATTAGATCTGTACCTAACACAACATTAGATCTGTACCTAACACAACATTAGATCTGTACCTAACACAGCATTAGATCTGTACCTAACACAACATTAGATCTGTACCTAACACAACATTAGATCTGTACCTAACACAACATTAGATCTGTACCTAACACAACATTAGATCTGTACCTAACACAACATTAGATCTGTACCTAACACAACATTAGATCTGTACCTAACACAACATTAGATCTGTACCTAACACAATGAGCTCTCTGTTTAACAAATCTGATTGTGATACATCAAAAGTAAATCAATGTGTTTAGGATTTTGTCACTTACCCTATTCGCTATATCCAAAAAAGCATCAGCTCCAGCTTGCCTGAGTTGTTTGTAAGCATATGGGTCATGTGTTTCCATTAGCTGTGTCAGTGACATGGTGGCTGGCTCTGGGCTAAGATCCCTTGCTCCACTGTCATAGTCAGCACTTTCAGGCTTTGTGTAAGACAACGCTCCTAGTATACAGGAAATAATAGTAATTTTTAAAATATTTAAGAGTTCAGAGAAATCTTTTGTTGTATAATAAAAGTATATTTGCTCAACTGCACTGTCATAATTTTTTATTTAATGGAACTTAAAATAACATTTATTGTATATCCAAATGCGTTTGGAATAAAAACTCTAATTTTAAAATCTTACCAAGACTATCACTGCTTAAAGTAGGCCATGAAGTTAACTGATTGCCAGCCACAGTGACCATTATACCACTGGCATCGGATTCCACACCAGTGTCATCCCCAGACAACAGCACTGGGGATGGGGCCATGGTCATGCTATGAAACACCTGGTGCTGAGGATGAGCTATGCTGGATTCCATCATCACACGAGTACGACAGCGAAGAAAATCATCAAAAGAAATCTTGGATCCATCAGCCAAACCAAGTTGCTGTCTAACTTCGTCTACTGATTCAGACATGTTTAGCATACGACACATGAACGTCAGATCTTCCCTGTTGATTAAAAGATTATCCTATTAGGGTGAACACAAATAAATATTGACACAACATGATTTAGATTAAGACCATCACAATATATAACAAAATAACATATCCATTGAGTATTTTAAAAAAAATTAAGATCCTCTCATCTGTCATACATAACATTTTGCAGATAATCCTTGCATAATTTTGTCTGGTGAGCATAGAGACATGACACCGCAAATTCTTCACCAATTCTTTAGTTACCAAATCAAAACACTTACTTAAGGACTTAAAAGAATACACAAGAATGAAATATTTACCCATCTAAAAATCCATCTCCATCTCCATCACAGCTGTTGAATAGACGTCTAAGCCTTTCTTCTTCACTAGCACTGGATAAACTAGAGTTTCTTGAATCACCATTGTCACTCCCACTACTGCTGCTGCTTGTATTGTTGGCCATTACTCAAGTAAAAGCTTTTTTCCCCGTTAATTGCTAATTATTTAAGTCATAAATAAAAATCTCAGCAAATGATATTCAGTCTTCTCCATTGTGAAGGGAACGACACACGGCTAAATCATTCAATAGGACTACAGTTACAGTCATTAGTGGCCCACACAATAAGAATAATATTTTTTTTTAAGTGCAGTGTACAATACAGAGTAGATCTAGAACAGCTGTTCATAAAATACAATTTTGAATTTTCAACATAACATTATTCATTAACAAACATCTAATCTAAGACTAGAATTTAGATCTTGATTCGTCTCTAGATCTACTAACTTCAAGCTAAACTGCTTAAATTAAAATTATTAGGCCTAAGGGCCTATAAATTTTAAAATTAGGGCCTACTAATTTGTAGGCCTAACATTGTCTAATTTTAGTAATTACTGTTATAAGACTTAAGAATTTTTAGAATGAGATCAGAGATTGAGATTGATTTGAGTTTGAGATTGAATGAGAGAATGAGTCAGGCAGACCGTCTAGAATCTAGATTTAGAAGAGTAAACGATGAGATCTAGTTTATGTGCTAATCGCATACCAGTGCATTATTGAACCATTTTTAGATCTAGATCTAGATTAAGATCTAAATGATCAAGTAATTAATATTTGATCAATTCTGATTTCTAATAAATCCCAGATCACTACGGTTTCGCGATGGTTTGTTGCAAAAATACTGAACTCCTTGTTTTAGGGAAAAAAAATATCTAAAAATAGTTGACCAATAAAATGTATAATTCCCAATTGTAATGAAACGAATAAAAAAATATATTTTCAGTGTCTTTTTTACTTTGATTAACTTTGATAACCATTTACAAAAATATCAAATTAATCAATCGCGATTTACTCGCTCTTTTTTTGTCATTTGGTTAGGCCTAATATTTAGATTGGTGTATGTCTGATAGTTTCAAAGGAATCCTGCCCAACGTTTAGTAAATAAAACTATAGACTATAGTGACTTCGGTGGTGGGATGCTTGAATAGAAGATGACTAGAAGTATATAGGCCTATAGATCTATAACCTTACATTCTTTCTAAAATGTATTTACTCCTCCCTTTCCCGTTATCATCTAGATCTAGATCTATATAGCGAAAAAAAAACCCTAGATCTAGATTCTACATAAAACTGTGTATTCTTTGATATATTGCAATTTATTTCTAAAAATATTAATGTAGTAGTGTCCCTTTAACTAAGGGATATAACCCAAAAAATAACTAGCCACTGTAAACTGACTGCTATCTCCTATCAAGGCTACAAACATCGCTATTCACACATTTTTATACTGAAATGTTGGCTAATTCGAGCAAAAACTGGGTGTAATTGGTCAGTATGCTCACAAGAAAGGGGGTATAGTTCTCAACGGGTGACACCATTTAGGTGGATGAGGACAAATTAATGAATAACTTAATAATACCATTTACCTACACTGTATGTTTTAACTTAACATGGAAAATATTTCATTCCACCTTGTATATTGCAGTTTAGAAAGTTATACCGACATTGTGGTCAGCACCTCTCATACTATTGTGTGGCTTTACTGAAAAGTAACTATTTCCTAGTTTTAAAATATAAGTTTTTGGTATTCGTTTTGCTTAACCAAACAATTCGACGACTAAAAAACTATTTTTTTTAGTTCAATATTTTTAACAATGTTAACCCACAACTTTTAACATGGATTATCAGTATTGTTAAACGAATAGATCTAGTACATTGATAGAATTACCTTATATGTAAATAGTGTGGATTGAACTAATTAGATCGACGCCAAAAAGAAAGATGTACCTTGTGTGTACGGTTGTTTAAAGTGTAGGCCTATATGAGAGAAAGACACACGGGGTAACTTTTTCAAAATACCTCGTTCACTTCTTGCCACTTGTTTACCATTTTATGTGACGACGATGTTACATGTTAGATAAAATTGTACATTTCATGTGATGAGATTGTAGATAAAATTGTACGTTTCGTGCAGTGTCACCCGGTGCGGCACTTAATGGTGTCACCCCCCCCCCCCCCCAGAGGCGTAGCGACCCTTCCCGGGAACAAACTTTCAAATTTTCGATTTGCACCCCACCCCTCAAGTTTTTCTCTATATATTTTGCTATTTTTTGCCTTGGTGTCACCCCCTAAATGGTGTCACCCGGTTCGGTCCGCACCCCCGCCCCCCCCCCCTCGCTACGCCTCTGGTTTCGTGTGATGACGATATAAATAAAATTATATATTGTATGTGCTTAGGATATATAGATAAGAGCAAGTAGTCAATGAGTTCACAGGTTCTATGTTCTAAATCATGTCAAAACATTTAGTAACCATATCTCTCACCCTTAATACACAACTAATCAGAGGCGTAGCGACCCCTCCCGCCGCTGGGGGCGAACTTTAGCGCCCCCTCCCCCTTATATATATATATATATATATATATATATATATATATATATATATATATATATATATATACACACACACACACACATATATATATATATATATATATATATATATATATATATATATATATATATATACAAATACACATAAATATAAATACACACTCAGACACACACACACTCATATATATATATATATATATATATATATATATATATATATATATATATATATATATATATATATATATATATACAGAGGCGTAGCGAGGGGGGCGGGGGGTGCGGACCGCACCGGGTGACACCATTTTGGGGGGGGGGGGTGACACCAAGGCAAAAAAAATAGCAAAATATATAGAGGAAAACTTGAGGGGGGTGCTAATCGAAAGTTTGAGGGGGGGGGGGGGGGCGGTTGCAAATCGAAAATTTGAAAGTTTGTCCCCGGGAAGGGTCGCTACGCCTCTGGGGTATGACACCTCTGGGGGGTGACACCCGACCTCGCTACGCCATTGTATATATATATATATATATATATATATATATATATATATATATATATATATATATATATATATATATATATATATATATATATATATTAATAACTGCGATGTATGATTTTCGTTCCCTAAAACTTTACTCGACGCCTATAAACTCCCCCTTAACTCCTATTATATTAATTTATATTGGTGTCACCTAGTGTCACACTACATGTTGGTATTATTTAGTGTCACACTACATGTCACAAAAAAAACAAAAAAAACATCTGAGTTAAGCAGGTGCTAATTCGTTTAGGATGGTATTTTTATGTTTTATCTTTGGAACAGTCTCTGTTATGATAATATAGTACATAGTTGGATTATTAGTTGTTTTTTTTTTAGAATAAGGTCATACAATTGAAATACAATAGAAAATTATCAGAAATATTTATTGTACACATTGGAATACGATATGGGTATTTCGTTGACTGGCAGATTGTATAATGAAACAAGCTAGAGGAAACAAAGTGGAATACAACGGACACAACAGCTCGAAGTCTTGGATTTATCAGATGTGCGCTGCCTTCTCGCACACCGTCAACAACAAATGCAGAACTAATTGTATTGGTTGAAGAAGCAGCGATAAAATGTGTTTTAACACTCTAAGACAATGTGTAATTCAAATGCATTGTCAAAAAAATTCAATCAGGATCTATAGCTAAATATGATGTATCTTTTGCTGTATGGCTTGGATGTATGTTACAGACAGTGGAAAATCAAAAAAAGTTTTTGGTTAGGGCACAATATCAGAAAAAACAGAAAATAACATCACTATGCAGGTGCTGGTGTAAAATCCACGGGAAAGAGGAAGAGAAAGAGACCCAAGAGGTTGGTAAGTCTCATGGCTTCCCCGGATGTCAAGACACACACACGACTCATGATTCACCATCGGATTTTTTCAGCATGGACGATTCGGTGAAAGCGCATATGAAACAGAAAGTTATGAATCAATTTCTGGTCGTGTCTTTAGAACAATTTCGATAATAATGTATGACAGTTTTAAATTATCAGTTAGGTTGAACAAAGTAACAAGTAACAATGCAGTAGCAGTTGTCGTGTTGTACCATTTTTACCATGTTCAGTAGGTTTAGTGACCTTAATTATATGAAAATTGCAGTATTAGGACTTGTTATGAAAAAAGCAATTAAAAAATTATCTATTGGTACAATATACTAATTTTCTTCTTTCTAAAAATGTATTGCAAAAAGCATCGCCTTCCGCCCACCCGCTCCGACCGTATGCTGTTTTACTGATCGGATAGTGATTCAAAAATCCGTGATATTTATTTCTCTTGACTACAGTGATCCAGACAACACGTAATGCAATCAAGTAAAAGTATCTGATCTCTCAGGGTGAAGTTGAGAGAATCGTAATACAATTGGTTTCTTCTCTAAGTGTTAAAAGAGTTATCTACTCACCGATCAAGTACAAATCCTTGCGATTGTAATTGGCGAAAAAGCGCCCCCCCCCCCCTCCCCACCATCTTGGACAAAGTTGGTTGAGCGGATTTTAAACGTCACTAACTATTTTTTTATGTTACACAATCGTATAATACGCTTTATTTGTTGGTTTCTTTTATAAATGGTAACGTTTATTAACTCACAAATCCAGTGTAATTTTTTCCTATTTTAGTCGGCGATAAAGCCCCCCCCCCCCCCCTTTTTTTTAGGAAAAGCTGGAAAGCGGTTTTTCCGGTCACTGTTTCTTAAGGGTATATGTTTTACAGTTACACAACCAAGGTAGAAAACAGTTAAATCAGTTTGTAAAGGCTTATAGCCGTTACAGAGGCGTAGCGAGGGGGGGGCGGGGGGGGGGGACATATGTCCCCGGGCGCCGACCTTGGGGGGGCGCCAAATTGAAAGTTTGAGGGAGGGGTGTAAATGAAAAGTTCGAGGGGGGGGGTGCAAATCAAAAGTTTGAGGGGGGTGCAAATGAAAAGTTCGAGGGGGGGGGGGGGGTGCAAATCGAAAGTTTGAGGGGGGGGGGGGGTGTGCAAATGAAAAGTTCGAGGGTGGGGTGTAAATCGAAAGTTTGTCCCCGGGCGCCGGGTAGGGTCGCTACGCCTCTGAGCCGTTAAATTTCTTAACTGTGACTGTTAATAATTCAAAACTGCAGGTTAAAATGAGCTTTTAATTTTTTTTACCCTTTTTGGCGCGCCCCCCCCCCCTCCCGTCCCAGTCTAGCTACGCCTCTGCAATGCAACTGATGAAGAATAAAATTAAGTAACCCTTTCAAACCTGGCGATCCATGGGGCAGATAAATCAGATAAGGTAGAGTTCATCTGGTTCTATTGACTCGACATCCGAACTCAAGACTTTCAGTTTGGCATTTGTGTGCTCTAATTGTTGAGAGAACATTTGTTTACAGGTTACAGAAGTCTGGCTTTGTGGAAGCGATATTCATACACACACACGCACACACATACATATATATATATATATATATATATATATATATATATATATATATATATATATATATATATATATATATATATATATATATATATATATATATATATATATATATATATATATATATATATATATATACATTGTTATGATGCATGTTTGACTAGGGCAATGGGTGCGCATGATTGATGGTGCGGCCGTATATTGAACGAGTGAGTGTGTGACGCTGTACGCAAGAAAGTGACGTTTTAGTGTGAGTTCGTTGTTGCCGGGAAAAGAAGCTGAAGTTAGTCTTGTCCGTGTTACGTTAGAGTTAGGTTGTCTAGTTGTAGTATCGTTTATCCAAGCTGTCCGATGTCCATTTCTATTGTGCAATAAATAGAGTTAGTAACCGATGTCATTCTGTTAAATCATTCGTAGCGTTGATGTCGTCGTGTCCCAAGATATACTGTAGGATAGCTAAACATAGTCAAATGGTGGTGATATGGAAAGATGGTATTGGATCAGGTAGTTGTACCCTCTCACTGCATAACTGTGGTACACATATAGAACCCAGCAGTTATAACATACATACACATATATTTATATTATAAATCATAAATAAAGCGGCATGGATAATTGTAAATGTACCAAATACTTTTTATTTTTAGACTTTGCAATGGGTTTACTAGATAATGTATACAGTATTTGATTTGTAAATGTACACAATTGTATTGAACTTCCTAAAAAAACCTATCGTACTTGTTGGTTTTTACTTATGTTGAAATGATGTTGATCTCTTCTTTAATCTTTACTTGTTTTCGTCTGAGGATTATTTCGTTAAAAGTTGATTTGAACTTTGAACTCATAACGTAGTAAATAGCAATGGTGACGGCTGAGTTAATGGACTCTAACAAATTGCCAAACGTCCAGGCCGTCAGTAGGAAGTCTGAGAACTCGGCTCGAACTGTGAACCGGGGTTCAACGAACGACGTGATGCCAATAGCAACACCGGTTGCATTGGTTAGGATTAGCATCAAGGCGATTAATGTGATCATTTTGGTTGTTTTCTTTCGTTTTTGGTCGATGGCCACTGAGAGCTCAAGGTTGGAGGTTATAGATCGGCGAACGTTGGAGTTTCGCTGGAGGCTGACCACAAGCAGGACGGTAAAACACGTCAGAGCAAGGAATATCGTAAGTCCAAACACTGCGTTAATGATGTAAGCGAGTCGCTCTAGCTGAGACCAGTTTTCCTTCAGGTAGAGGTCAATATAGCTTTGGTTCTTGGATGTGTTGAACTTCCAGCCTATGTACGCGATGCTGTACTCTGGTATGATGAGTACAGCACACAGTGTGTAGATGAAGAGAAGGACGATCACAGTTTTTAAACAACTAGGCATCTGGCGAAACCTGAGCGGGTAGGTGATACACAGGCAGCGTCCTGCAGCGATGTACGCCGTTATACATCCGGTCACGCGCGAGAAGTAGCCACGTGACCAGCCACCAGTTAGATAACAGACGCCCGGAGTGACGCGAATGAGCTCTGAGCTGAGTGGATTCTTGCAGATCCCGAACCACAGAAGGCAGACGAGACAGCCCAGGTCTGACAGCGAGAGGCCAAACAAAACCAGGTTGTTGCTTTTCTTCAGTCCGTGCTGGTAAAATATAATTAGGTTAATGACATTGGCCGGCAGTCCAAAGACGGCAACCAATGTGCCGAGACCCACCTCGTTGACGATTTCATAGAAGATTCTATTGTTTGCTATGACCGACTGGACAGAGTCTACAGGAGGAGGGGGATGGTCGGTTGTCGTCTGCGAGACATTCAACTCCATTTGTCTCTACACTAGATGGTAAAATCACTTCGGTCTGCTGTGGAGTTAGGAAGATCTTATGAGTATGTCAGGTGCGACCATAATGATGTGTTCACATGAACCTATTCACCCGTCGACTCTCAAGCATTCGCTGTTATTTCAATCGCGTATTCAACTATATACGTTTTCATTTGCTTAAAGATAAAGGAACACAAATCTTAGAATTACTAACAACATTCGCTGTCAGAATCAATTTTTAAAAACTGCATGTTTATTTAATTTAATGTTTAAATTGTTTAGAATACCGTAAGCAATGATATCAAACAAATGTCTCATGTGGTACATACATGTCCAAATTGTGCTCCAATATAATATGTGTTACTGCACTCAGGTAACAAAGACATTCGACAAAAAGACAAGTTACATTGTTGAATGTCTCAGTCGAATGTCTAATAGAAACACGAATTCAGCCTAAGAATTCAGCATTTGGATTGTTGGAAAATTCTGGAAACATGTCTATCAATCAGAGTTAAAGTTAGAATTTTGAGAATAACTTGGAAACACTTCTAATCAAACTATTTAAAAAAGCACTGCGAAAAACTCGATCTAAACTGGAGAGGTTAGGATTAATATTAATTTTAAGTTGATGCCGACCACGTCAATTATCGGACCTATTTGCTCAACTGCCGCGTCCTTTATTTCAGTGGCAACAAAAAGAAATAATCGTTCAGCATCCTTAATTGTTTTTACTTGTTTGAAGAAAAATTAATTAGATAGTATGGATCGGCGAGGGTCTGATAATTGTAATAGTAATTATTTAAAAAACACCTTGGCAATAGAAACTTTAAAAAGGGATTTATTTGACTACTTGTATATCGCAAGACAGATCTGGTGTGGATTGATTTGTTTATAAAGACATACTAATTATATTCGTTAGATTCAATTATTACTAGACGAGGCTTTCAAAGTTTGCTCTTGTGTAATAAAAGAAAGAGTGGGGTAGTGTAATTTGAGAAGATGTTTACATTAGCTAACAATGTTTCACCCAGTAAGCACGTGATCAGTGTGGCGCCACTCAGATAAATCTATAGGCTCTCATTGATTTCTTATACATGGGTTTGTCACGTTGAAAACTACTGCAGTAAGGATCAATTCAACCAAATGAAGTTAAGACAATTTACAACAGCCAAAAGACCAGATATCTTTGAATGGAAGTGGGGGATGGAGCAGCATTAATTCGCCCCCCCCCTCTCTTTGGCTGCTTTGATCATGCTGTGAGTGCGTGCCTAAAATCGAACAAAGCTAAAAGAGCTGCAAACACTATACACTCACTATACACAGCTAGATTACACGCATGTCAGGGTTTTAAAAATTCCTAATGAATAGTAAAACATGATTTATCTACCCTAATCTACAAATCTGCATCGTATGTAAGCCTATAATAATGTTAGATACAAACTACAACAAGGAACTACAACAAGGCTCAGTCAACCGTGACTAGAAAGACTCATTCCTTAACGTACTCACCCGTATTGTTGATTTAAAAGATACATTTCCCAAATTTCAAATAATTATTACAAATGCTCAGTTACCTGTCATCCGCGTAAAGCATAGCCAAGAATCAAACGTTCCGTTGTGATATCACTTTGTAAAATGTGCATTAATAATAAAGCCAACAACAGAGATCTAGAACATATTTTGAATAAAGTTTTGCTGTCTTAAAAATCCAACCAATAGAAAACTCGCCCATATAACGGTTTGCTATCTTTAATCCAACCAATAGAATACACCGGACGTTTCCCTAACTTTAATTGAATACAATTATTGATTACTACATTTGCTAATTAGAGAGGAAGTTGTTATGGTCGCGTGTACTGGCATTGTTCTAATGAAGTCTTTTATTAAAGAATCATGGCGTTCTGATGGCATAATAACAGTTGTCTTAGGATGTCATTTGATCAACTACCACAGATTTTATCTGACTATTTTCAGAAGTAAGGTTAATTTAGTTTATTGATCGGTCAATATATTACATCCAATGTTCTTCGATTTGACATTTTCTGAGACATTAGTTAATGTAATGTTTCTTGATTTTTTTCAGTCCGCGTTTTATGTAAACAATTTAGACCATTTCATTGTTATCCAACACAAAGTTTATTTACTATGAAAATGCGATTATCTAGGACACTGATTACAATTTTTTTTATTAAAACTACGAGAACTTTCTACTTTATAACACGACGGTTTAGTTGCCGATACCAACATGGCTTCATTTCTTCAAGATTTCATTTCAATAGTTCAAATATTATTTTATTTTAATCTTAGTTCATTTTGGCCAAGTTAATCTTGACAAGATTTACATAACTGAGACCAACAATATGTACAGGACTGTGTTCTACACAAACAATTTCTGGACTGAGTGTGTTCAACACGCAGCGACGTTTATGGGACTCTAACGTAACCTAACCTAATGTAAAAGGCTAAATTTTTCTTTAAAACGAAAATAGTTCAGTTGCTGCTGTAAAAATTTTGAAAAGAAAAAAAAGTTTTGCAATGGTTCCTATTATAATGTACATTTTCTTAGAATATCAAGCTAAGTTTGTATGGCGCTCTGAGAATTGGTGTGCACGTGTGTGTGGATGTGCTAGGGTGTGTGCCCGTGAGTGTATGCATGCGTGTAAGGTAAGTGTTTAAACGTAACTACAAAGTATTAACTCTGAATAGTGTGATTATCGTGATTAAAAGCAATTGTGTCAGACACTTGACTACGCGGCTTGTATCTTTACTAACCACTGTCAACAATCCATTCCCGTCAGTCTTAAGAATAAGATTAAGTTGTTATGGTTTGTTTGTTTTTTGTGCTGAATATATTCAATTTTTAAACATTGTTCATTGTAAAATTAAACAATCTTAATTTATTTTTTAATAAATTTCTGCTACAAATATCATCCTTGAATTCCAAAGCTTAAACAAATGCAAACATGCGTGTTTTCGCTACAGCCCTCTAGCGATGTATCTCTGATAGGGCTGTCTTCTCATTGCCGTGGATATGTGTTTAGTGTTTAGCATCAAAACAAATTCCTTTTGTTCTCTATTATATTAGCACTAATCAGATATTTCTTTCAGCTGATCAAAAGCTTTATTTACTCTTTGAGGTGGAGACTGGCCTTTACACAGGGGAGAGCACCTTTTGTGATCTACCCATTTATTTCAGGCTCGTTTGGATATATCATATATGGGATCTAGGCTATACCTGCATTATATATCCCCGACTCTGTGTGGCATTTTGTTCTCTTTGTATCAGTGCTTTGTATCTATGCTTTTTTTAAAAATCACTAGCTCTTATTATCCCTCTTTGAATACACACACACACACACACACACACACACACACACATATATATATATATATATATATATATATATATATATATATATATATATATATATATATATATATATATATATATATATATATATATATATATATATATATATATATATATATATAAATGAAAGTATGTTTGTGTCTTTCTGTTTGACCTTTATGTATTACTATGCCGATCATCTGATGAAACTTTGGGAAGCTGTGGAGAATACTCCTATGAGGGTTACTGCAAAAAAGTTACTTTTTATTTTTATTTTGCGATTTGGAGCTTTGGAGCACTGATGCCTCGATACGTTCGTTTTAAAGATTGCGATACATTATGGGTACCATGGGCCTTATAATCGTTCACTAAATCAAATCAGGCAAGTCATCCGGTGCACCGGACCACCCCGTGAGCACTATGGCGACTGCGTTTGATTTAAAGAATGCCATACACACGATACGATGGATTAATAGAATGCTTGACTAAATCGAATCAGGCCGGCGCACCAGCGATTGGGTGACCTGCAGCATCCCGGACTCCCTCGTGAGCATTATGGCGCTTACATTGTGTTTTGAGCAGCATCCTACAACATGGACATGGTGGCACATGACATTTGATATTTAAACGGAACCAGGGGCCTTACACCCGAGCGCCCCGTGACGCCCCTAACACCTGGGCGGTCGCCGAGATGTGATTATTGTGATCTACCTCACCAATACGGAGGTTTATTAACGTATACTCAAGGATTTCATAAAACACCCCGTGGGGCGTCTGGACGGCAGTGTGGACAACCCCCCCCCCCCCCATCAACTATGATCAAAGTAATACAGTACCTGATTTGTTTACGTTTAAATAACTCAAATTTAGAAATCAAAGTCACGCGGCCATAAATACAAGATTGGTAACGCACTAATGAAATATTCTTAAAATAGTATTCCTTCTGAGACTGCAGAAAAGCGCTGGACGGGTACGTTGGTATATATATATATATATATATATATATATATATATATATATATATATGTATGTGTGTGTGTGTGTGTGTGTGTGTGTGCGTGTTCGTGTGTGTTACTTTGAGTGTGTGTTACTTTGAGTGTGTGTTACTTTGTGTGATAGTCGTTTATGTGATAATGATCATATTTTAAAGAGTAATACGAATGATTCTACTGGGTGCAAAAGAAATCTCGGTTTATAAATATGCGGGTACAACAGCGCCATTAACATTGCCTATTTAAAAGCAGGAGCCTAAAGAGTCAACAAAATATAATATACACTGCTGAGGCTTGTACTACAAAACATGGTCTAATAATTTTAACTACATTACACTTTTCAATGTTTTACAAATGGATTTAAAAAAGGAGTAGAAATAAAATTAATACTTACACATACTTGGATGAAAATTTTTATCTTACATTTTTATCTTAATTATAGCGTAATATACAACTACATTGTGTTCTAATTAAATTGAATTAGGCCTATGTTGTATCTTGATCCATGAAAATTACAGATTCATAAAATATTTTTTTAGAATTCAAACAATCATGTAATCTCATTAGCGTTGAGAAAACAAACTTTAAAAAAGTTTATAATTTAAAAATAACTCTTAACAGTTGGTTTTTTTTTACATTCACTTATTCGTTTTAAATTAATGATGTATCTAAGCGGGAATTATAAACTCGAATGGATAGTTTAGCTTCTCATTATGACTAATACTCTTATAACTACAAGCGACTAGATAAAAGCAAGTCATAAAACTGGTCATCATGAGGTCGTGTAAACAAATATTTATAACGCAAGAAGCCAGACGATCGATTTCTACTGCTAATCGATTGGTTTTATTACACGGATATTACAACGACGATAACTTTATCATCCAACATCATTTTTATTTTCCAAAACGGCGGTCCTCACATCCCTCTTTGAATATTGTAACGATGTATGACCGATGAGAGGGGGGGGTGACAATATATGACCGACTGGAGGGAGGGGGCTTTGAATATTGTAACGATGTATGACCGATGAGAGGGGGGGGGGGGTGACAATATATGACCGACTGGAGGGAGGGGGCTTTGAATATTGTAACGATGTATGACGAGGGGTAAGGCAGAAAGTGTGACGAGACACTTTGAATTTTAAACATAAATGTAAGCAGTGTTTCTTCCAGACTTTTTTCTCCGGGGGAGGGGGTACTTAATATTTTCGGTGGGGGGGGGGGGGGGGGGGGGCACTGGTAAAAGTATATGTTTTCTATATAAATTCCATTTAGTTGGGGGGGGGGGTGTTAGACTTTCTTTGAGATGCCTGAAAAAAACTCTGAATGGAAGGAAACTAAATTTTAAGTAAATATTTTAGTAAATAATCAATGTTTTTTTAACTGCCATTTTGAAGCGGGTTGTAGACTGAGATGTGACGTCCCTTTAAGGAAAGGTAAAAAGAGTTTTAAAATCGTGAAGTCATTTGTGAATGCAACATCCCTACCCTCACCCTTACCCCAAAGCTGGCTATAGTGACTCTAAATCCAATTAATTGGATTTATACTAAGGCTTAATACAAATTAATATATATATATATATATATATATATATATATATATATATATATATATATATATATATATATATATATATATATATATATATATATATATATATATGTTTGTGTGTGTGAGGGGAGGGGGGATGAATTATAAAACGTCGAAAACAATTCTTTTTACAATATACTGTGTAATTTCTACATTTTTCATTCAGTGTGGATAATATATTTTGTCTCCTAAGTGACTTGACTTATCCCATTTTGACCCTCAGGGATCAAAGGGCTGTAATCACACCTCTCCACCGGACTTAGATTTTGGGCTGCTTTCCATATCCGCGCCCACGTGAGCCCACCGGTCTTTGTCTTTTTTTATACCGCTCTTCTCCATGATTTTTGTTTAATAAGTATGTTAGTGTCTTTTGTGTCTATATATATTACTTGTACTTTCATGTGAGCACTATGGGGGCCTACATTCATTTTAAACAGCGCCCTACACAATAAAGACTCGATGGACCCCAAAATTCGATTGCCAAACCGAACCCAGAGTCTCCAAGAATCCTCTATAGTGTAATTAGTGGCTCCAGAAAGCGCCCGAATAAAATCCAATATAGGGTCGGCGCTGTTTACATTAAATCAGAGGCGTACCGAGGGCGGGGCGGGGGGTGCGGACCGCACCGGGTGACACCATTTATGGGGGTGTCACCATGGTAAAAATTAGCAAAATTTACAGAAGAAAAATGCTTTTTACCAGCTCCATTAATGATTAATTAAAGTTAAAGAGTCTTTTAAGTATTAATCGACAATTATTACAAGTGGGTGGGGTGACAGGTGACATGTCGTAAACGTGCTAACTATAAAGAAAGCAATTCTACATCCAACTGCATTATTAACAGACTATATATATATATATATATATATATATATATATATATATATATATATATATATATATATATATATATATATATATATATACTTTATTTCTTGGGGGGGAGGTGGGTCGCACCGGGTGACACCCAACCTAGCGACGCCACTGCATTAAATCACTTCAATTTATATAACAAGGCTACACATTTTAAATTACACGATTTAAACTGTAAAATTACAGATAAGATTTTAACTACTGATGATATAACACTTGCTATATATAGGTCGGATAATTAGTACCACGAGTACGTTTTTCCACCGTTGCATAATGGCATGGATATGTAGTACGCATAGACTACAATCTAGAATGATTTCAACTCGTTCTTGCAATACCATATTGGTCAGTTAAAGCAAAAAGACGACATCGCGCGTGAAAACAACCCGACAAAACCAGGGGGGGGGGTGGTGGAAGAGGGGTTGTTTGCGTGCAAATAGAATATATACAAAATTTTAAAACAAAAACTTGTTTTATATAGGATAAACAGGCATATATAGTATCATATCACTGGCACCAATAAACTATTTATATTAACTTTTACAAACATTTCAATTTTTCAGCTTTTGAGAACTACGATCGTATTGAATCGTGAGCTAACGATGTAACTTCGTGAATCTATATTTAGACTGATTGATTTATTCTATTATTGAACAGATGGTCAGGAATTGTTAGTGACACATCGTCGACGTTATCGGGGTCACGTTGCTGCCAGGGTCAAGGTTTGTTTCGGTTTGGGCGGAACTACGTGAGTTGCATGTGCAGTTCCTATAACTTAGAAATGGGTTACTCAGTGGCGTAGCGAGGTCGGGTGTCATCTGGTGCGGCACTTAATGGTGTCACCCCCCAGAGGCGTAGCGACCCTTCCCGGGAACAAACTTTCAAATTTTCGATTTGCACCCCCCCCTCAAACTTTCGATTTGCACCCCCCTTCAAACTTTCGATTTGCACCCCCCTCACATTTTTCTCTATATATTTTGCTATTTTTTGCCTTGGTGTCATCCCCCTAAAAGGTGTCACCCGGTGCGGTCCGCACACCAGCCCCCCCCCCCCCCTCGCTACGCCTCTGGGTTTACTTTTTCATTTTAAAACCATTTCAGTAAATCACTTAAGTAAATGTATTTATAATATAAATTTTATTCTATTAAAAAACAAATTGATACGAACTATTCGTGGTTTCTTTCTTGTGCCCTTACGACTAACATGCCTTACTGGCGCCCCTACTCATACATACGGTTCTCCTTCTACTTTGGACATTCGCCGCCCTCGCAACACTTTTTTTTATAACTACACAATGTTAAATAATATGTTTGATGTTATTAATGTACACCTAATCTTCTCGGAATAAACTTTACTCATATTTACTTCGAGTCTAGATCTATCTTTTAGAAATGCAATTTGAAAGGTTTTGTCTTTATTTCATCTTCATTTTTAATTCAAAATTACCATTATAATTTGTTGTGTTTTGGTATTTACTTGAACCTATACACTACAGCTGATGACAACATTCCCGCCATATTCTGAAATAAATAAAAACAGTAGTTGCTCCAGTGCCCTAACGTTTTGGAGTGCCATAGAGAAAATCTAGTAAAATTACTAGATCTATTTGTATTAGTATTGCTAATCTAGCTAGATCTAGATCTAGATCTAGAAGATTTAGAAATTTAGATTCTTGTCACTAGCACTTCACTAGATTTCTAGCAGTAAACTAGGTCACTAGTACTAATCTCTTATCTTATTGTAATCTCACTCCTCTACTAGAGTCTACTACTCTACTAGCTAGTCTAGTTGACTCTAGCGGCAACTCTAGCCTATGCGAGCCATTCTAGATTTCTAGTACTTTAACTTCTTGTGTGATAGAATTTTGAGTTTTTCTAATGTAATTAATATTAAATAATGTTAAATGTTTAAAATCAAACTGATTTCAGAACAATTAGGCTAGGCTTGAAAATCATACTATGAAATAATGGTTCTTCAGAATACAGGGAAGTTCCATTCCGATACTGATGCTGAAGGATCAAGGCAAGTCATTATAAATAATCTAGTCTAAGTATAGTATTCTAGTTCTAGATTTCTATATTTGAGTCACGTTGCTAGAACTTAGGGGTTGGAATATGAATATTATATTACATCATACTCATTGAGGGAAGATATGTGTAATTTTGTAACGGGGTGGGGTGCTGTTCTCAGATAGATTGCCATCACACTTTCGCATTTTAAAAAAGTAGGCCCTAATGTTAAAAAACTGAATTGTAGCATGTCATTTATGGTTTTCTAATATCTAGCCATCTTTAAAGAAAAGTTTTTAGACTTTTTTTTTCAATTACTTGTACACAGATATGGCATGGTTGAATAGTAGAGCAATGAGGGTTTTCCCAAAGTCTTGAGTTCAAATCCTGGACTCGAGTCTATAAATAGGCCCTGAGTCTACCTAGCTCTGATGGGTACCTGACTAACCTTACTTTAGGCATACTATCCCAAGTTCCTGAGGGTACTGAAACAGGTGAACACTACTTCACCTGTACTGTACTTCACATGGACTGATGGTTCAAAGATTACTTACTTTACTCATACATTTTACAGCACTCGAGAAGATTCATCAGAAAAGCGTCTAAAAAGAGCAATTCTCAATGACAAAATTGATGTACAGTTTGGTTATGAGCGGTACAAAGATGCTGCAGAGAAGACTGGATGGCTCATTAACATGCACCCTGTTTGTTTTTGTTTTTTTTACCTATACCACAGTACTAGTTAATATATATAAATGATTAGTTTTAACATCACTAAAAAATGACTCATAAGCTTGTCATCCCCCACTCTCACAAAAATAACCCACCTCATGGTTGAGTTGGTAAAGCTCATGGTTGCTAAACTGAAAAGTCTCGAGTTGAACCCTCGGGCAGATGAGGCTCGTTAGCTGGGGACAACCACTCTTCTAGGAGAGACAACTCCAAAATCAAACAACTGCTGCCTTGTAGTTTGTTCTTGGTTGGACAAAGGCTATGGAAGCAAATCCAACAAGAAAAGCGGGCTGAAATCTGAGTCAATGGCCTCAATGGCACATAAACAGTTGACACATATCCTTAATTGTGATGGAGGTGTGGTCGAGTCAGCAAAAGTTCATGGTTGATAAATTCGAAAAAGTCTCGAGTTCAAACCCTCTGGCAGATAAGGTTCGATCCCTTCCAACACTAAAAATTAAGAACGAAGAAGAAGAAGAAATAATAAAACAAATCAGTACATTTTCATTATTTATATTTCTAAGAAACATAAAATGTATGCCAACTGTCACTCTCTTAATCTATCCTGCCCCATCACATAAGTCAACACCACCACTTCTTATATCAGCAACATCCTGTTATAGTTAACTCTCTTAAAGTGTATCTAATTTGTTATTTGAATACAGTTTACAGTTAACATGAGATTCTATGTTTTTACACACAGACTGACATTCTTGATGCAGACAAACGACTTATCAGTGCTGTGGATTATTATTTTTTGCAAGAAGATGGAGGAAGATTTAAAGTTAGTCACTTATTTTAATGATTTAAAAATCTAGAATTTCTCTATTGTGTTGTATATCAAATATTAAAATTAATTATTTTGATTGGACATCTTTTAAAATATCAATTTTTTTTAAACTCTTAGGCAACACTTCCTTTTAAACCATACTTCTTTGTGGCTGCTAAACAAGATTGTGAAAGAGAAGTGGCATCTTACTTGGGTAGAAGATTTTCTGGTAAAATAGCCACCATTGAAACCGTTTTTAAAGAAGATTTAGATTTGGTGAGTTCAAAAATAATTTAGAGTAAAGCAAAAATGATAAAAAGCTAACCTTAAAAGTCAAAATAGTTAATTCTAAAACAGTGCCCATTTATTAAATTGTGGCTTGGTTGAGATTATAGAAGAGCAAAATCTTTTCTCTGCTATAGGCTAACCATTTGGTTGGATTAAAGCGCTCCTACATCAAACTTTCATTTTACAACACTGAGGATCTAATAAAAGTGCGCAAAGATATTTTTCCAGCTGTTAGGAAAAACAAAGAGAGAGAAAAAAATTTGGATTACTACACAACAATGTTGACAAGGTTAGTTGTGGCAGATGTTCACTTCATTGATAGGAGGCATCTAATGTTTCAGTTCAACACACTTTCGCAAATTACATAAACATTAAACAAGCCAAATTTATAATAATACAGATAGTCCATTTTTATTGCACTGGAAATATATTCTCTGGATTCATGTGTAGCTAATTAATATACTTAAAACAAATCAATCACATATAAAGATATATTTAAAGATATATTCCTAGATGGTTTTTCTTTTTTAATTTATTAAATAATGAAATGAGTTTAGAAAATTATAAAATTAAAAGTAAAAAAAAACATTTTACATGTTTATATTTGCTGTAGCCATTATGCTGGTGAAGAAGCTTTGGAGGTGTCAAAGAAAATTTCAGATCAAATGGAGAACATTATTGACCTGAGGTATAGTTAATATGTAACAATGTGTTTTAGTTGATTCACTAAAGCTATTCATTTTGTCTATTTGATGGTTTAACGTTCTCATTATTTCCAGAGAGTATGATGTTCCATATCATGTTCGAGTTTCTATTGATTTAAAGATCTTTGTGGGACACTGGTATTCTGTCAAGGGAAGAGGTTCTCATGATATTGAAATTAGACATCGGGAAGATTTAGTTTCTTGGCCGGTAAATTGAAAATTTTACTCTGAAAATTATGAATAATTATAAACCTTTGCTGGTTGTAAAAACAGAATATTAATTTAACCTATCTGTAACATAACTCTTCTAAAATTGTTTCAATTTTGTAAATGATAGGATCCAGTTGTTTTAGCATTTGATATTGAGACAACCAAATTGCCTCTCAAGTTTCCTGATGCCCAGACTGACCAGATAATGATGATCTCTTATATGATTGATGGCCAGGTACAGTTGTTGATAACGCTTTCTAGAATGAACCATAGGTTAAGATGGTAGAGTTTTTACAGAGGTTTCTTCTCTTTCCCTTATTTAATTATAGCTATCACAAGTTATTCAAAATTTTAAAATATTAAATCTTAAAATATTTTTAACTCCAGGGCTACCTTATATGTAACAGTGAAATTGTTTCACAAAAAGTTGAAGATTTTGAATATACACCGAAGCCTGAGTTTGAAGGTCCATTCACTGTGTACAATATGCCAGATGAGGTTTGTTAAACATATACATTTTAAATTTTACCATATCTAAAATGACTTAGTTGATGAAATCTCTAGCAACATTGTATTTACATCTTCATATTTTTCCTGTTTAGAAAAGCCTGCTGCAAAAGTTTTTTGAACATGTCCAGGAAGTGAAACCACATGTGTTTGCAACATATAACGGAGACTTTTTTGATTGGCGAGTAGAATAGTAGTTATGCTTATATTGATTGTTATAAACAGCCTAGTTTATTTGGTATTTTAATGCATTATCCCTTAGACTTAAAAAAAAAAAGCAAGGATTTTCTTAATTAACAAATAATATTTAATTTTAACTAAATGATTACTTTCTTTCTAAAGGCCATTTATTGAAACCAGAGCAGCCATCCACAACATGGACATGTTTAGAGAGATAGGATTTCAGAAAGATTCACAAGGTGAATACAAAAGCAGACCTGCTACTCACATGGATTGTTTCAGGTGGGTTTGTGTTCAGGTACTTTTGGTGGATTTTTTAAATTTACACTATTGACTGGTCGGGACTAACAGCCTTAAATACCTCATTTACAGATGGGTCAAACGTGACAGTTATTTACCTATGGGAAGTCAAAACTTAAAAGCTGTTGCTAAGGTATTGTGTTGTTTTCTCAAAAAATGTTTCCAGCTTTGTATTTCATAGTGTAATGTATTTCTTTATATGTGTTGCTTAATTTTTGTATTTCCTGTTTATTAGGCCAAGCTGCGCTATGATCCTGTTGAGTTAGATCCTGAAGAAATGTGCCGTATGGCTAGTGAACAACCACAGGTACTTGTCCTTTTTGAATACTAAATTATTGAATAAATACTTTCAACAGATTTTGTAATTAAACCAAAAATGAAATTATTTGTACACAGGTTGTTTGATTTATTTCCACTAGGTTCTAGCCAACTATTCTGTATCCGATGCAGTTGCCACATACTATCTTTATATGAAATACGTACATCCATTTATATTTGCCCTCTGCACAATCATTCCAATGGAGCCAGATGAGGTAGTTAGTTAATTTTTACTACGCTTATATTCGATGAACATTTGAAAAGACAGAAATTAACCTTGTAAATGAATTATATCTCCAAAATTTCTAGGTCCTGAGAAAAGGATCGGGAACATTGTGTGAGACTTTGCTGATGGTTCAGGCATACCATGCTAATATCATCTACCCAAACAAGCAGGAATCAATCCTAAACAAGTTAACTGAGGATGGACATGTGCTAGACTCAGAGACTTATGTTGGTGGACATGTTGAAGCTCTGGAATCTGGTGTATTTAGAGCTGATTTGCCTTGCAGGTTTCGTATGGTATGCTAATTACATTTTTATACCACGTTTTTTGTAAACATTCAGTTTTCACATACATCTGATTTTTTGTGAAGCTGCCTTAATTTATCTTTGACATTGATTTGTGAAACTAAGATGCCTTATTAGAACTATAACTATTTATTACTATAGGTTATTTCCTCTATTGTTTTGTTGAGTACAGATTTAAATATAGTTTTCTATCCTCTATTGTTCAGTACAGATTTATAGTTTTCTCCTTAGGTGCCTGCTGCATTCCAAGGTCTGCATGATTCTGTGGAGAAGACCCTGAGACATGCCTTAGAAGTGGAAGAGAAACTTCCCTTGTCAACAGTGACCAACTTTGATCAGGTAATTACATGTCATGGCTATAAAAAAAAAAGATTTTCCTATTAACAAAAAGTTGTAATTTAATTTTTTTATTATCCTTAGGTCTGTTCAGATATTAAAGAAAAACTGACACAGTTACGAGACTGTCCAAACCGCTTAGAAAATCCTATCATTTATCACTTGGATGTTGGTGCTATGTATCCCAATATCATTCTAACAAATCGGTTACAGGTATGTCTGTTTTATCCATTCCAAATTTTGTAATTAAAGTGTAATACTCTACAAAATATATCTATTTAATGTAAACTTTAAAAATATATCATATAGTACTTTTAACATTTACTAAACCAGCCTCCAGCTATAGTCAATGAGGAAACCTGCGCTGCTTGTGATTTTAATAAACCAGGAGCCAGATGTCAGAGGAATATGCCATGGATGTGGAGAGGAGAATTTAGTGAGTGCTTACATTTGTTTCAGCTGTTTGTGTTGGGCTTACATTTGTTTCAGCTGTTTGTGTTGGGCTTACATTTGTTTCAGCTGTTTGTGTTGGGCTTACATTTGTTTCAGCTGTTGGTGTTGGGCTTACATTTGTTTCAGCTGTTTGTGTTGGGCTTACATTTGTTTCAGCTGTATGTGTTGGGCTTACATTTGTTTCAGCTGTTGGTGTTGGGCTTACATTTGTTTCAGCTGTTTGTGTTGGGCGTACATTTGTTTCAGCTGTTTGTGTTGGGCTTACATTTCTTTCAGCTGTTTGTGTTGGGCTTACATTTGTATCAATTGTTGGTGTTGGGCTTACATTTGTTTCAGCTGTTGGTAGTTGGCTTACATTTGTTACAGCAACTGTATTTTCCAATATTCTAATAGTGCCCGCCACACGCAATGAATTTAGCAGAATCCAGCAGCAACTGGAAAATGAGAAGTTCCCACCTCTCTACCCAGATGGACCACAGCGAGCTTTTCATCAGCTACCTAAAGAAGAACAGGCTGCTATAGAAAAAAAAAGATTGGCAGGTAAAGCCTGTTTTATTCTTATTATATTATTTACAGCACAAAATTACAAAACTTCTGATTAGTTCCTTTCTTTCCTATCATAATCAAGTTCTTAATGATAAAGATACATGTAAGGGGGTGGGGGTCTGAATTCCTAGTCAGTGTGCGGTTTGGTGGGGAAGGGTAGTCTTTAGAATTAAGTTTGGGTTGAGCTATCATGATTTGTAACTGTATTTTGGGAGATGAATCTTTCATTTTTTAAAATTACGTTTTTAAGATTATTGCCGTAAAGCCTATAAAAAAGTACACACCACAAGAATGGAAGAAAGGACAGCAACTATTTGCCAAAGAGAAAACAGTTTTTATGTTGATACTGTTAGAGCATTCAGAGACAGAAGATATGAATTTAAAGGTACTAATACACGGTTATATAAATCCTAGTATAGTTAATTGACAATATTAAGTTTGTTTTTAAAGAAATCCTTTTAGGTTGCTGTAAAATAACAGTTCACTTGTTATAAAATTTCCACTTAAATCGTCCAATAGATTTGACAAAAGTGTGGAAAAACAAGCTTACCGATGCAGAAAAAAAGAATGATGCTGCTGAAATAAAGCGTGCAAATGGTCTACTAGTGTTGTATGATTCACTACAACTTGCTCACAAATGTATCCTAAATTCTTTCTATGGATATGTAATGAGAAAAGGGTGAGTTGATCAATGGTTTTTAAAATACTTTATAAAATCATACCCAAAAAGTCCTTTTAGTTTTGTATGCAAATCTTATGTTTGGGGAATATACTTGGTAAATCAAAGTCTAAAGAAGTGGCAATTTCAAACCCTAAAATAATATTCATACAAAATTGTAAGTTTTTGCTTTATTTTACTGTAATGTAATTTGTAATTTGACTTCTGTAAATACCTCTTATGTTGTAAGAAATGGCCATTGTAAAAAATAATGAACTGAATGTATTTAACTTCACTCACAGAGCCAGATGGTACAGCATGGAGATGGCTGGCATTGTCTGCTACACCGGCGCCCATATCATCACTAAGGCTAGAGAACTGGTTGAACAAATTGGGTAACTCCATTCACTATTTCTGTCTTTCCTTTTGCTTAAATTTTGATACAAATTTTCATTTGCTGTAAAGTTTTGTGTTTAGTTTGTGGCTTACATTTAATTTCTTCAGCTTTTTTTCACACGTTCAGGTTACGCTTATTATATTTTCCAAATGTCCAAATGAAGTTTTTTTGATTTGTACTCAAACATTACTTTTAAGTCGTCCACTTGAACTTGACACTGATGGGATATGGTGTGTGCTTCCTGCCAGTTTTCCAGAAAATTATACAGTGAAAACCAACAACCCTAAAAAACCAAAGGTCACCATATCCTATCCTGGCGCAATGTTGAATGTGATGGTCAAGGTAATTTTAGTTTTAATTTATACTTTAAATGAGGGTAACTATTTAACTGTTAAATCCTTTAAATTCTCCTGCCATTGTGTAACCTTTTATTGTTCAACTTTAGGACTTCTTCACAAATGACCAGTACCAAGAACTGACTGACCCAGCTACATTGACTTATACAACACGCAGTGAAAATTCTATTTTCTTTGAAGTAGATGGACCTTATTTAGCAATGATATTACCTGCCTCTAAAGAGGAAGGAAAAAAGTTGAAGAAACGTTACGCGGTTTTCAACTTTGATGGATCTCTAGCTGAGTTGAAGGTTTTACTTTAACACATTTGTTTTAGAATTAAATCATTATGTATTAATGTTTTAGCTGATTTAAAGATTTTAAAAAATAAATGTTCCAATTTTTTTTATCATGATTATTGTTAAGTTAGGCTACTATTGAAATTTCAGCTACTGCTGCCTACCTGTAAAACTTAAGTGAAACATTTTAGTTACAAATCAATCATATATTTCAGGGTTTTGAAGTCAAACGTCGTGGTGAACTTGAACTGATAAAGATCTTTCAATCATCTGTATTTGAAGCTTTTTTAAAAGGAAAAACATTAGATGATTGCTATGCAGCAGTAGCAAAAGTGGCTGATTATTGGTTGGATGTTTTGTATAGCAAGGTATATTTAATATTGTTTAGGTTATAGTTAACATTTCTTGGAAAGACAAGAGCTCTTTTAATAAAAAAGACTTCCAATTTAATTGTTTTTATTGAACAGGCTGCAAACATGCCAGACTCTGAATTATTTGAACTGATTGCTGAAAACCGAAGCATGTCACGTAAGCTGGAAGATTATGGTAGTCAGAAGTCTACATCAATCAGCACAGCCAAGAGACTGGCTGAGGTAGTAGCAAACTTGCTTCTGTATAGTTGTCTATTGTTAGATTAGATTTGGTTTCCCAACACCTCTAGAACATAATTTCCTGAATGATTATCTGTTGATTCTTATTACTGACTTAATTTTGTTTCAGTTTCTTGGTGACCAAATGGTCAAAGACACAGGTCTAGCCTGTCGCTTTGTCATTTCCAAAAAACCTGAGGGTTCCCCAGTGACAGAAAGAGCTATACCACTGGCCATATTTCAAGCTGAACCTACTGTCAGAAGACATTACTTGAAGAAGTGGCTTAAAGTTTCTGATGCCTCCAACCTGGACATAAGAGATGTATGTTTCACTTGCAAATTCTTTTTCATGGTCACAAACATGAGATATTATTTCCCTTTAAACTGACACAAAGTTTAATTAGCAGCAGAAATCTGTAGCCTCTGGTAGTTTTTTTTTTTTTTTTTACTGTTTTCCACTGTCATTCTGTAGTATTGTTGCAGAACTTTTACTAAAAAAGCTAAATTAGTTTTTTTATTAATGTAAGTATTAAACCAAAATATCAACAGATTTTAGACTGGGAGTATTATGTAGAAAGACTAGGTGGCTGCATTCAGAAAATTATCACAATTCCTGCAGCTCTTCAATCAGTAAGTTTTCTTTTGTTTATTGTTAAATTTTATTTGAGTATATTGATGTATATTCTTTGTAAATCAGGGTTGGATAGATTTTCTAACCACCCAGAACATCAACTAATAAACTTTGATCTCATTTTTTTCCAGTTTATCAATGTTGTTTCTGGTGTGATCTTTCCTAATTGCATCAGTATATATTTTACCTTAAATTGTGACTAGTATCCTACAATTTGTTATTGTAGGTTTCAAACCCAGTTCCTAGAATCCCTCATCCTGATTGGTTAAGGAAGAAACTGTTGGAAAGAAATGATGTCTTCAAGCAGAAAAAAATTAATGAAATTTTTTCTTCAACATCAAGACAAATATCTAAGGTATTTTAATATTATATTCTTCCTTTGGAGTATTATTTACGTTACAGAAATTTATTATATTTGTTGTTTGTAACGATCTTTTGAAGGCTTATTGCTTTTTATTGTAATCTTATTTTTTCAACTGCCTTTTGTTGTAATTGTATATTTAATAACCTATTGCTTTTGTTGTAATTGTATTTTTTCAACTGCCTATTGTTGTAATTGTATATTTAATAACCTATTGCTTTTGTTGTAATTGTATTTTTTCAACTGCCTATCATTTTTCTACAGGATATCTCTTGTGAGGGACAGGAAACTGAAACTTCTGATATCACAGACATAGAGGATGTGGGTGGCCCATCCAAAATCATGCCTGCGAAAGGACCAATAGTAGTCTCAAGTAAACGGAAGCGCAATCACTCAGGAGAAAACCATAATGTAGATGGTTCACAGAATTGGAAAGAGGCGCTTGGACCTATGCCACCTGTTGGAAAAACCAAGGTATTTCAACCTCTGAAACCAATGTTTTGACAGTCAAGGATGTTTTTGGCAGTAATGTACATTAATTTTGTCAATTTTAATTTTGTTCTATAATGCAATCCTTTGCTCCATTATGTAACCTCAATACACTAATGCTAGTACTTCTTACTTTAGATCATTCCCAATGTGGTTATTAATACTAAGTATTTAATTGTAATTTAAGGTGATAGAAACCTGTTTAATCAACAAATATTTAAAATTATTACTTTATTATGATTAAATCTGGCAATTAAAATGTATGTTATAGTTACAGCTATTGTAATTTGAAACAGGAAGAAAGAAAAATCTGGGTTGATTACCAGAAGAAAAAGTGGGCTATTCAGAGACAGATTCGACAAGAGAGTAAGCGCAGACGCCTGGATGACAATGACTTTGTTGTAGATTTAAGGAGAGGTCCTAGTCGTGGATTAACTGGATTCTTGAGGAAAACAGCTAGATCAATGATGGACATGCCATGGCAGATTGTGCAGGTGGATACATTTGTGTTGGACTCAGTGTTAAAAAAAAACTTTTTTTTTTCTTTCTATTTGTTTAAACGTTTGTTTGTTATACTCAAATAGAACAGTAAATTAAATTTGTAATGTATGATTCAGATAATGGAAACTTCATTCCCTGGACAATTCAAGCTGTGGGCATTAATTGGCTCTGACCTACATGCTATCAAGTTAAATGTACCTCGAACCTTTTATGTCAACCAAAAAACTGAGAAAGAAGGAGAAGGCGCATGTAATGTTCTTTTCTTGTTATTATAAAATATGAACTAACCTAAATTTGTTAAAAAAAGCATTTTGATATGTGCATTCTAAATTCTAGAGAGAATATCTTTTATAAACTATTCCTAGATATTGCAAACTACATGTTCCATGCCTATATTCAAAATTTGAATCTTAACTCAATCAAATTAAATATAAAAATAAATGTTTACTTAAAGAGTCTCAATAAAGAAAATCATAATTATAAGTAGTTGATTTTGAAATATAAGGATTTCACTGAATCACAAACACATGTTAACTGTTTTAAAATTTTTTAACTGTTGAATTAAACATGTTTCTGCTAATTTTAATCTGACAAAGCAAATGAAAATTATAAAAATTCATTTATTGAAATAAATCATAAGATTGTAAGTTCTATCTACAGTATGGAAAAGAGTCCATAGAACTCTGCCAAGGTCCCATCCAGTGTTTCATCTATATCAATATGATGTACCAGAACATATATACATCAAGCACATCAAGTAAGTGTTAAAATGCATTTTATTTTGCTTCCATTGATTCATCTTTTTGAAAATAGCAAACAAAAGTTTTATTATTTAAGTCAATCATTTCATCCAATTTTATAATTTCAGTGACATTACAGCAGATTTGTCCTCACCAGATATAGAAGGTGTTTATGAAACTCAAGTTCCTTTAGAGTTTCGTGCCCTTGTGAAGCTTGGTTGTGTAGCAACAGTCAATAGAGAGTTTGCTCATAGCATGGAAGGCAAAGTATGCTTTGTTCTGTTTGCATACTCAAGTTTTTTTCATAGATGTTTGGGCAGTATTTATTAGATAATATTACATATACATACAAGCTAAATTTAAAAGTTTACAAATTTTTCTTTTCTTCAGGAAACAGATACTTTTGATATTAATAATTTGAATTTCCGGAGTGTTGCTCAGTTTCCCTATTTAAACCCAGGTTCCATGAAACATTTGTATCTTTATCACCACAAATGGTACTTATCTTTATATTTAAACATTTTCAATGCATGATTTTATTTAAAAATATAAATTTTAAAAAATATCCCTTTTAATGAAGATTAAAAGAACAATACTTGTACACTTATTTTTCTATTGTATATTTTTTAACCAGTGGCAACAAAGCAATGTTCGGTTTGTTTAATCCTGCTGGAAAAGCTGCTTCTATTTTTGTCTTTGACACTGCTATTGGAGACCAGATGCCAAATTTAGGGCCAATGTATAATGCTGAAAGAAATTCTAAGTAGGTAGAAAAGAAAATTGAACTTCAATTTTTTTTAAAATAGTTTTACTTGTAGAGCTCGTGTAAAAAATGTATATTTCTATTGTGTGTAATCTAGATTGACGCAGGGTACAGATGAAGAAATGCTTCCCCCGGCTGGCCTAAGCTTTAATGTTAATCTAGGAAAAACAGCTAATGAGAGACAGAAGTTTGCTCAGTTGCAAAGATTACTGGTTGATTACAAAAGAGAAAAGAGAGGTCCTACGTTTATAGCCATTCAAAGTGCTTATGGTAGGTTCAAGTACTTTAAATAAATCTTTATTTTATTTTACTCTCTTAATCCAATAAATTTGAATCAAAATTAAAACAACGCAAAACCATTTTTAAAAATCAGCAATAATTTTATATTGATGCAGTAAGTTTTAAAATCAGCATTGAAAAAAATTCATTTTTAAAAAAAAACATTTTACCATTAGTAAAATTGTCAGGGGTAAGAAATGTGAATGAAATGAGATTTAGTGTTTGCAATTGACTGATAATGAAATTTTCAGACTTGGCTTACCTGACCAGTCAACTGCCAGAGCTGAGCCAGTTTCCACTGGTTCCTATACACATCAGTGACAGCTCAACTCTGTACAATGTCCTGGACTGGCAGAGGGTTGGGTCTAGACGCATGTTACAGCATTACATCAATAGTAACATCTACATACAGGTGGGTCTAGACGCATGTTACAGCATTACATCAACAGTAACTTCTACATACAGGTGGGTCTAGACGCATGTTACAGCATTACATCAACAGTAACATCTACATACAGGTGGGTCTAGACGCATGTTACAGCATTACATCAATAGTAACATCTACATACAGGTGGGTCTAGACGCATGTTACAGCATTACATCAACAGTAACTTCTACATACAGGTGGGTCTAGACGCATGTTACAGCATTACATCAACAGTAACATCTACATACAGGTGGGTCTAGACGCATGTTACAGCATTACATCAATAGTAACATCTACATACAGGTGGGTCTAGACGCATGTTACAGCATTACATCAATAGTAACATCTACATACAGGTGGGTCTAGACACATGTTACAGCATTACATCAACAGTAACATCTACATACAGGTGGGTCTAGACGCATGTTACAGCATTACATCAACAGTAACATCTACATACAGGTGGGTCTAGACGCATGTTACAGCATTACATCAATAGTAACTTCTACATACAGGTGGGTCTAGACGCATGTTACAGCATTACATCAACAGTAACATCTACATACAGGTGGGTCTAGACGCATGTTACAGCATTACATCAACAGTAACATCTACATACAGGTGGGTCTAGACGCATGTTACAGCATTACATCAATAGTAACTTCTACATACAGGTGGGTCTAGACGCATGTTACAGCATTACATCAACAGTAACATCTACATACAGGTGGGTCTAGACGCATGTTACAGCATTACATCAACAGTAACATCTACATACAGGTGGGCTTGTGTATGATGGGCTCTTTAACATGCTTACAACTCACAACCTAAACACATTTTCAGTTACTATATTATCAGTTGTCTGTGATTAAATGTGCCGATGTAAACATTATTCTTTTCATCAGTCTCTGATGGAGCAAGCTCGTTACCTTCATGTTCCTGTGGGCAACATTCCGCAAGATTTTACCTTGTTTGGCTGTGATCTATTTTTGGCCCGTCTTGCCATGAAACACAATCACATCCTGTGGGCATCACCAACCAACAGACCAGATCTGGGTGGAAAAGAGGCTGATGACAACAGGTTTTTACATTGACTTGGTTTTGACAATTTAAAAATCTTCTTTTCCTCCTTTTTTTCCATCTTTCTTTTTTGTTCTAAGAGAATTATGTCGCATATAAATTTGCTGTAACCGTGTGTTGCGTAACTTTCAGATTGTGTATGGAACTAGAAGAAAGCAGTGTGGTTGAGTTGAACAATCCGGGAGCTTACAGTACTGTGTGTGTAGATGTTGAATTGACAAGTCTTGCTGTAAATACTATTGTTGAGGTATGGAAAAACAACCTTCTTATTAAATATGTCCCTGTCAGTCAATGTTTTTCCTGTGTAATAACTTAATGATTGTATTAAATATCTCCCTGTCAATGTTTTTCCTGTGTAATAACTTAATGATTGTATTAAATATCTCCCTGTCAATGTTTTTCCTGTGTAATAACTTAATGATTGTATTAAATATCTCCCTGTCAATGTTTTTCCTGTGTAATAACTTAATGATTGTATTAAATACGTCCCTGTCAGTCAATGTTTTTCCTGTGTAATAACTTAATGATTGTATTAAATATCTCCCTGTCAATGTTTTCCCTGTGTAATAACTTTTCTTTGCCTCTCTAGTCTGGCCACATCAATGAGCTTGAAGGTGCCAGTGCTGTAAGTTTTGATGCAGCTCCACAGACATCCCTGGAGGACATGATACAAGGCCAGGGGGCTGCCACCATGCTTGCCAGCTATGATGAAACAGCTCTGTGTGCTACAACATTTAGGTTTGTCAGTGGGCTACACCATTTAGGTTTGTCAGTGGGCTACAACATTTAGGTTTGTCAGTGGGCTACATTTAGGTTTGTTAGTGGGCTACAACATTAAGGTTTGTCAGTGGGCTACATTTAGGTTTGTCAGTGGGCTACAACATTTAGGTTTGTTAGTGGGCTACACCATTTAGGTTTGTTAGTGGGCTACACCATTTAGGTTTGTTAGTGGGCTACAGCATTTAGGTTTGTCTGTGGGCTACAACATTTAGGTTTGTTAGTGGGCTACAGCATTTAGGTTTGTTAGTGGGCTACAACATTTAGGTTTGTTAGTGGGCTACAACATTTAGGTTTGTTAGTGGGCTACAACATTTAGGTTTGTTAGTGGGCTACAACATTTAGGTTTGTCAGTGGGCTACAACATTTAGGTTTGTTAGTGGGCTACAACATTTAGGTTTGTCAGTGGGCTACAACATTTAGGTTTGTCTGTGGGCTACAGCATTTAGATTTGTCTGTGGGCTACATTTAGGTTTGTCTGTGGGCTACATTTAGGTTTGTTAGTGGGCTACAACATTTAGGTTTGTTAGTGTGCTACAACATTTAGGTTTGTCAGTGGGCTACAACATTTAGGTTTGTCTGTGGGCTACAGCATTTAGATTTGTCTGTGGGCTACATTTAGGTTTGTTAGTGGGCTACATTTAGGTTTGTTAGTGGGCTACAGCATTTAGGTTTGTTAGTGGGCTACAACATTTAGGTTTGTCTGTGGGCTACAGCATTTAGGTTTGTTAGTGGGCTACAACATTTAGGTTTGTTAGTGGGCTACAACATTTAGGTTTGTCTGTGGGCTACAGCATTTAGGTTTGTCTGTGGGCTACAACATTTAGGTTTGTCAGTGGGCTACATTTAGGTTTGTCAGTGGGCTACAATATTTAGGTTTGTTAGTGGGCTACAACATTTAGGTTTGTTAGTGGGCTACAGCATTTAGGTTTGTCTGTGGGCTACAGCATTTAGGTTTGTTAGTGGGCTACAACATTTAGGTTTGTTAGTGGGCTACATTTAGGTTTGTTAGTGGGCTACATTTAGGTTTGTTAGTGGGCTACAGCATTTAGGTTTGTTAGTGGGCTACAACATTTAGGTTTGTTAGTGGGCTACAACATTTAGGTTTGTCTGTGGGCTACAGCATTTAGGTTTGTTAGTGGGCTACAACATTTAGGTTTGTTAGTGGGCTACAACATTTAGGTTTGTCTGTAGGCTACAACATTTAGGTTTGTCTGTAGGTTACAACATTTAGGTTTGTTAGTGGGCTACAACATTTAGGTTTGTTAGTGTGCGACAACATTTAGGTTTGTCTGTGGGCTACAACATTTAGGTTTGTTAGTGGGCTACAACATTTAGGTTTGTTAGTGGGCTACAACATTTAGGTTTGTTAGTGGGCTACAACATTTAGGTTTGTTAGTGGGCTACAACATTTAGGTTTGTCTGTGGGCTACAACATTTAGGTTTGTCAGTGGGCTACAACATTTAGGTTTGTCAGTGGGCTACATTTAGGTTTGTCAGTGGGCTTTAACATTTAGGTTTGTCAGTGGGCTACATTTAGGTTTGTCAGTGGGCTACAATATTTAGGTTTGTTAGTGGGCTACAACATTTAGGTTTGTCAGTGGGCTACAGCATTTAGGTTTGTTAGTGGGCTACAACATTTAGGTTTGATACAGTGCTGACTTGTCAAATATTGACACGCCTCATACTCATAAAAATTTTAATTTGTCCCAATGCTAAAATTCAAATGTAGCCATAATGATGTAGAACTTGTTTTTAAATGACATTAATATGACACATTTTAAATTGCGTCTTCCTCCCAGAATTCTTAAAATGCTGGTTCAAGGTTGGCTGAAAGATGTCACCACCCAACAAAACTTGCATGCTGATAACCAACTCATCCATTTTTACAGGTAATTTTTTGAACGTTAGAAGATACAGGTAATTATGATAAAGTGGAAAAAAAACTTTCTGAATTTAGTCTAAAATGCCCCACTATTTTTCAGTTTCATATTTATTTTTTGGAATAATTTTAAAAAAAATTCTATAGAAAAATTAGAATGCTAAAGACTTATATTATTAGTACAAAGATATATAGCATGTGAGATTGCTTTAATTTCATCCATTAGTATTACTTGGTTTTTTAGCTGTTAGTGCTAGCTGATCTCTCCAATATATATTCTAAAATTGTGTTGAGTGACCAATGGTGTTGGGGCCGTAAATGTCGTCTATCCTTCGTAGGCGCTCAAGATACAAATATTATGAGAGTGCTTTATTGAGATTATTATTTCCTATATTTGTTTATGATCCCATCACATCCTAGATGATTTTTAACAATACATACTTTTTAAACCAGATGGATCCGTTCACCAAATGCCCTGCTTTATGACCCTGCTTTGAGGAGAACATTACACAACTTGATGAAGAAAGTTTTTATGCAGGTAAAAAAAACTACTTTGCTTTTTATTCACTATGCCTTTAAAAATACTGAAGTTTAAATTATAGTTAAAATAAAGTGTATTTGATATTACAACCAATTCTTTCTACAGTTGATTGCTGAATTCAAAAGATTAGGCTCAATTATTGTCCATGCCAATTTTAATCGATTGATTGTCTGCACTAAAAAACGCAACATTGGAGATGCGATGGCATACATGGAATACATAACTACATCTATTCGGAGCAAAGAACTTTTTCAGATGATTGGCATTGATTTTGACAAGTGCTGGGAATTTCTCATCTGGATGGATCCGGTATGTATTTCAAGTTTTTGTGTGTCAAGTTGTCATAAACTTGGCACCTTAAATTAAAATTACATATGGTGAACCTTTACTATAATAAGTGCTACATTCTTAATCTGCATTGGATTCTCAATTATTTTTATTCTTTGTTGTTGTTTATAACATTCTACATGAAAATATTTCCAACACTAATTTAGGCTAATAGAGGAGGTGTTTTTGGTAAAACAAGTGAGCTTGAACTACAAGAATCATCAGAACAAGAAAAAGATGATGAAGATGATGAAATTGAGGTTGTTATTTTTAAGTAATTGATTTAATTTTTACAGTTAAAATGTATTAGTATAAAATTAATGTGCCAACACATTGTATGAAATAAATATTGATACCATCCTTTGTGTCTGCAACTCTACAGGCCAGAACTGATATGCACTGGAATATTGCAACCTTTCTACCTGAGGCTGGAGCTTGTCAGACTAATTTCAATGTATGTCTTCTTTTCAAATTTATTTTCATAACTTAGAACTTAAACACACATTTAATGATTCAAAATATTATGTTGTAACCACTTCATTGTAACAAGTTTCATTGATATCTAACTTTTAAATCAACCCTATTTTTGAAATAAATTGTTTATGCTAGTTAATTTAAATATTTTACAGATGTTGATTGCTGGCTACATTCTAGCAGTCTATAAGAAGATTCAAGAAGATTCTAACATGGCACCAGGCAACACACCAGTAAAAAGAAAATCAAACAGTCAAACACAGGTACGTAGATTTACATTGACTCTAAAATTGTTGTATTTTATAAGTTTTTATTTAATCATGATGACATTCAAAGAAGTTGCTTTATACAGGTGAATCTATATTGTACATATTCATCCAAAGACTTTCTTTTTTTGCGTGACATAGTATGAATGTATTAGAATATTTAAAAAGAGAGCACAGACAGAATAGTATGTTTATCACAGCACATATATTCTCGATCAACATACGCCTGTATAGTTGGCATTGGCAGGGTTTGTGATGTATATTTGTCATGACATCAAGGATTCCATGATATAAAAAATCACGATACAATACATGTTTTCTTGCTCTGGTGGACTTAATTACTATGTCGTACTGTCGCGCTGTCCTATTTGAACTGTCATTGGCTGTTAGTTCCATCGTCCGCACTGACAAAATCCAATCGCAAATCATATGAGCCAGGTGTGTTGACAATCGGCAAACTCCTGAGACTGACTCACCAAACCCCCAGGGTTTGAGCCAGGTTAAGAACCGCTGATTTAGAAAAAATGACTAAAAAGTGGAAAATTTAAAAAAAAACAAAAAAAAACCTTATAATAATAAGCCTTTAACTTGATTTCTTTAATAAAAGCTTTGGTCAGTTATGAGATCTCTATATAATTTTAGCTCAAAATATCCTGTTTTCTATTCCAGAAAGTTTTGGATGTGACAACGCTACCATCTATAGTTGCTTTCTCTCAGAATTTAATTCAGGATCAATTTTCACAGCACATGTTTGCGTACGTTTTCCTGTATTTAATATCTTACATTATAGCCCATTATTAAAAATATGCAGAAATTAACAACTACATGTGTAGAAGGATAGACTAAAAATTTAAAAAAAAACTTATAAAGTCCTCAAACTATAATTGCTTAGATTTAAAAGTAAAATGAAATTTATTACTACATAGCACTTGAATCAATGCTGACCAAACTCTCTCAGGTTGACCCAAAAAATGCAGAAAAAACTGTCAGTGAAAAGCAAACAATCAGATATGTCTGACATTTTCCCAAACTTGCCTGGATCTCATTTAAACCTGACCAACCCAGCTTTAGAGTTTGTCAAGACAATCTGTGAGGTTTGTATTCAATTTTTTCATAAACTACTACTAAAGATTAGTATGTTTTTTATTTTATAATTAAACTATAATAAACCCTTATCATTCATTAGGTTGTCTGTTTGGTTTTCTTAATTATTTTCTATAATAAATTACCTGGAAATGTTTCATTTTAATCCCTTATAGGTCCTCAGTCTTGATAGTAACATCACAATTCAAATTAAAAAACTGAAAAGAGATTTGCTCAAATTAATTAATGTTGGAGAATTTTCACCAAGTGCAGAATTCATCAATCCTTGTCTCTCATTTGTTTTACCTGAGGTAAATGCTTGAATTAAATTGTCCATTAATATTTAACTCTTTTTATTTTAAAAAAGAACTGGTATTTTTAAGAAGAAAATATATATTTAACTTTTTTCCTAATTTCCAGATGATTTGCAAAAGTTGTAATCAGATAAGGGATCTTGATCTGTGTCGAGATATTTCTCAAGGTGGGGATAACCCCAAGTAAGTAATTTCTGAGTCACCCTGCTTTAACTGGTAATTTCTGGATCAGCCAGTACTGCAGTTGATTTTAGTATTTATTTCATGTAAATAGACTTGAGTACATTTTTGTTGCAAGGATTTGGTTGATGATTTTTAAATAATAACATAAACTGAGGCTTTTCTGTCCCATTGAAATTTGTTATGGGATTATTTTTTAGTAAATAGAAACAAATATGGATTAAATACATATAAAAAAAATACTAAATAGTTATATTAAAATGGATATTTAAACTATGAGCAGAGATGTAGCAATCCATTCTGGTTCCCAGTACAAACTGTCCAGTTTTTCCCCCCTCCCCCATTTACATATAGTTATTTATGGCCCAAAAACACGCTACCCATAAGTGGCAAGGTGAGGTACTTATTACCAGTCACTGTTCCTCATCAGATTTAATTTTGTTAATCTGACTATGAGCTGTCATCCATTTTGACACAAACATCAACAATACAGGCTAAACCCAGATTCTAATATTATTTTAAGTAATTTGATCTTGTGATATGAACTTTAAGCTAATGCTCACTGTGAAATTCTTTCTAGTGCTTGGTCCTGTCAGCAGTGTCACACAGAATATGATTCTAGTGAGATTGAACAAACTTTGGTTGATGTTTTGCAAAGAAAGTCAATGGCATATGTTCTTCAAGACTTGTCTTGTAAAAAATGTAAAGGGGTAAGCATAATAGCTCTAACAAAAAAAAACATTATTAGTAATTCAACCTTTTACCTAATTACTTTTTTTTTATTGTAATCAACATTTTTAAATGTGATAGTTAATTTTGAAAATGTTCCACTAGGTTAAAGATACCAACATGACCCTCCATTGTAAATGTGCTGGGGACTTTAAGGCTACATATGACATTCAAGATTTCATTAGACAAGTGATAACCCTGCGTGGGATAGCAAGGTTTGGCCAAATAAAGATTTTATTTTATTCCTTTTTATACTTCAAATGTTAGGTGATATTTTTTTAGTTTATTTTTTTCTCATTGTGCAGTTTTGGATGCAAAACAAATTTCTTTTTCAAAAATAAGAAACCAAAGTAAAAACCTGTTTTTTATGCATATGTGATCTTTTCTGTTGTCAACAGGCACTACAAAATGACACTGCTGGAAGAAATGATAGATTGGGTGATAAGAATGAACCCTGGACTGGACATTATGCACTGATGAACTATTCATTTGATTGTCTAATGTGTATAAAAGAGTTGTTTGATTTTCAGATTACTTGATACTGTGTAAATCTTTGGTGTAAATATTTGTATAAAGAGTATTAAATTACTTGAAAATTACTTAACTGCTGTTTAGAAAATTCTTTGTTTGATATGTCCAACTTAAAAAATAATACATGTAATTGACGATTATTTCATTTTAAAGTAATGAATGAGTTTAAAATTAGCAACTTACTCGCAGTAAATTACTCAAGTGTTTCTACTCAGGTAACAGGCAATACAATTATATCTAAGCTGGAAACAAATCCACAAATTACATAACATCTGTATTACTAATTAATAATTTTATATATACAGAAATGGGATAAATAAAAAAATAAATTGATTGTCTGCTGTTGTTTTTCAAATCCTCAACCTGCTGGAGTGACAACACTAGGTTGATGAGGTACAAATGTGTTTAGGTATATAAATGTTTAGTTTTTAAAAAAATTTCCCTAGAAAAGCAACGTTAAAAAAATTTGGAAAGATTTCAATCAATGAAATATGCTTGACTAAAGAATAAATGTGGATTTCACTTACAACTTAAGTGCTGGCAATCTATGTATAGTAGCTACATCTATTTACTAATAGAATAAACAGAATATTAGTTGTTTACTTAAATAGTTTAATTTACAAACATGTTTACGACTTTGAAGTAACTTTTTCTCAGTGTGTAAACCAAGTGGTGTGTTACATAGAACATGTAGCAGTCTTACAGTCTGCTTGCTGGAGTTGTCTTTCCATGAAAAATTGAAAGAAGCTCCACTGGGATAATTGGCAGACTTTTCCCCCATATCATTTGGTAAACAGGGCTGTGTGCTGATTAACCTTTACTTTTTCTGGTGACATTTCTCAAACATGGCTGGTTATCTACTGGCAACAGTGCAGCTAAGGTTATTTCTTACATCCTGTCAGAGTATCTACCAGTGCCCCCCCCCCCCCCCCCCCCCAATAATTTCAAGTGCCCCCAGAAGAAAAAAAATCTAGAAGAAACACTACTGTTAAAGCTTTTTGTAGAATCCAGTATTTTAGCAAATCAAGTGTTCTTTAACCGTTTCATGTCATTAGTAGAGTTATATGCAACAAAAATCATTATTCTGAATGTTTTTGCAAGCGTTGATAATGGAAAAAACTAATGAGTGTATTTTGGTCAGTAAACACTGTCAGACCTTAAAAAAGTACAATGTGTAGTGGGAAGTTGGTTTGGGACCTCCAGAACCCAAAAACCTGCCTGATCTTGTATCTTGGTGTACTACATTTAATTTGCACACTATTGTCATCTCAAGGAGACAAATGCCAAGTCATTGCCTTTTAAAAACAATCAATACCTATTCCAGACATAGAGATGTTTCAATTGCTTCAATTTATTTTTAAAAAGATTTGAGATGGTTAATATATATAGAGGCATGTCAAAGCTTACTAGAACATTTTTTACTCATGTAGTCATTTTAATTAGAGGCTAATTTAAGTACTTATTCATTTATATATATATATATATATATATATATATATATATATATATATATATATATATATATATATATATATATATATAGGGACACCAGTATTTTGTTCTTAAAATAAGTTCTAACTCTTGTGCACTAGTAAGGATTGAAAAATGCTTTTAGACTTTTTTCTGTAAATTTGCAAATATTCTGAACTCATGGTAGATCTAAACTTTAGATCCTAAATAGAAAGTCAGTTGTTTTTAAGTAACACAGGTTCTTGGTTCTTTTTATTGATTATTAATCTTTTTTAAGGATTTTAATATTCAGAATACATATCTATGATAAAGAAAGGGTTTAAAATGACTTATTTGTCATTTAGGCTGATTTTATATTGCTGATAAGGGTTTTTAATTTAAAGTTTGGATGTAAAACATCATGACATAACATTAAATAAGACTCAACTAAAATTGATATTGAAGCTAAAGATTTATATTTTAAGATTATAAAAGTTTAATTTAAGATTGATTTAAATCATCAATATATACAGTGCGCAGAAAGGAAAATTTAAGCAACAGAACATGAAAAGTCATAGACAATGAAAAATGTTGCATAGACTGTACATTCTGAATGTAGAAAAAAAAAACACTCATTCATGTCATGTTGTGCTCTCTGTTCAAATAATTTCCATTATTCACTAAACTTTCAAATAAGTATATACAAAATTAGGATATTATTAAAAAAAAAAGGTTTGTAATAAATAATTCATGACTGATAGTAAATTGTGTTTTGAAGTTTAAAATTTCAATATGTCTGTATAACATAATTAATAAAATAATTTATTTTAAAAAAAATGTATGAATTTAAAACAATGTTACAAACTAAAGCGTAAAAACTGAAATAAAGGAATATACTTTTTTTTCAAACTTAGCTTTATTTTTTTAACATCACGACAAAATAGAAAAAAAGGGATAAATTGACAAAAATGACGAATAATGAAATAAAAAGAAAACTGCTTCGGCCACCATCTAACAAGTCAATCAATTTTATTGTGTAGATAGTACAACAGTTTTATTAATTTTCTTCAAGAAATTTGTTGTTTTTATACTGCAATTCTTAGTTATAAAATTTCTGATTCATTTCTTTATTGGAATTGATCAGCTTTTAATTAAAATATCACAAAATTTCATCACTCATTTTTTACTGTATGTATATAGTTTTTGGGAACTGACATAAAAACCATTTATTCATGGCAGTCATAAGATCTTAAATCTATATCCTAACTCTACCAGATTTCTGTCAAACAACATATACACTCCAGTTTTTCAACCAGCATTATAAAATCTTCATCAACTGTATCACAAAATGTTCTTGATTCAAGTGAAACAACCACCACTTTTACTGTAAATCTTGATTTAGCTTTAAAAGATCCAAATACATCGTTCCAATCTTTTCTATATATTTTGCTAGGTTTTGCCCTTTATTTACCCATGATGTCTCTGCGTCCGCCGTAACTCATACCTTGTTGGTTTGCGCCTTGGTTGGAGCCATATTGCAGGTTAATGGTGGCTTTTGATGCTTCATTCATGTCATCAACTTTAATGTCAGCAATGTGACGCTGAGCCCCCATGGACATACCTGCAAATATAAATTTGTTGCCTTACAAAGAATGTCATCACAAATCAGCTTTCTATTATATCTATTAGGTATAAAGTAGTTGACTGAGGTCTTTAAAATGTCACACTTTTTACACTGGTGAACTCTGCCCCCTCAAGGTTCAAGGAAATTAACTCCTCGCCTACACATTGTATAGTTATGTCTGAAATAGGCTGAGTACAAAAAAATCCTATTTTATAGACCTACTTCTCCTAGAATGCCAAAAGGGAGAACTGGCAAAATGTCAAATTTATTCCCACCAAAATCAATCTAACATCACTTTAGGTTTAAGGTCAGTTTGGAATACACAGTAATATCCTACTCTAGTTCTCTCGTTCTAGTATGGAGGGGTGTGTTAATATACAAGAGGTAATTGATTGTGGGGCAAAGGGATGGGTTAATGGACAAGGATCTACATTAAAAACATATAAAGCAACTACAGATGATATAAGGGGCTACATTAAAAACATATAAAGCAACTCCAGTTGATATCAGGTATTCTTGTTGTTGATTAAACTCTCTAAAGGCTAATTCTTACCAGCTTGGCTGGCCCCCTTGTTAGATCCTGCTTGCAGCCCAATGATAGTCTGACCTTCTCTTGATGCATCATCAGCCCTAATATCAGCAATGTGCCTAACTGCTCCAAAACTCATGCCTGACTGAGATGCTCCCTTATTGGAACCAGCTTGAAGACCAATTACTGTCTGACCCTCCTTGCTGGCATCATCAGCACGGATATCTGCAACGTGCCTCACAGCACCGAATGACATGCCTAGAATTTCATAAAATGAAAAAGTTATTTAATAAGTGCAATGGTGGGAAAAACGGGGAACAAAGATACTTTTTTGTTTTCCTTATTTATTATTCCATAGAACCATGGAAAAAAAATACAATAGTTAATTTTTCATTTGCACTTCACTGTACAACTATAGGATCTTGTCCAGATAAACTCTGCTACTAATGCAAAAAGTGCAAACAAAAAGTTAGGCCCTGCCACTTTTTGCCAGCTCTAATTTAATGCTTGTATGCAACTTGACCTATTTTTTATGTCTAGACATTTAAATATTTAAAACAAGCAATATAAAAAAACTTCCTAATCAGCCTCTGGGGTTAGGGATAGGGTTAGGGTCATGGTCAGGGTTAAAAACTATAAGTACAAGTCTCATATCCTCTTTTGGACTATCTTTTTTGAGTGGAGTGGGTTAACTTTTTGGAGAAGTTTATCCGGACAAGATCCCAAATATGCACATATAAACAAGAAAAGCTATGTAAAGCTATGTTAAACTTTGTTACCAGATTGAGAGGCTCCTTTGTTTGACCCAGCTTGCAGACCAATGTGACTTTGTCCTTCTTTTGACATATCATCAGCTCTGATGTCAGCAATGTGTCTCACAGCTCCAAAAGACATGCCTGATTACAAACATGAATTATTATCAATGCCAGTTCAGTATTTTATTCCATTTTGCCAAACATGATAAATAGTAGACCTGCATTTATTTTTGAATTCGCTAGTATAATTTATATGAATCTATTTTCAGGTTATTTTTTTGTAATGTAAAAAAGCAACCAATTCTTCTTCTTAAGTAGAAAATCTCATGACTTAAAAAAATAACATGAAAAGAGAAAAAAGAAGAATAGATTATAATTATTTCAGATACTTTGCAGGGATCCCTTGGATTCGATCACACTGGATCACACTTTCTCTTGTCTGCTAATGACAAACATCTCAGCTTATTGATGTTAAATTTAGTGTCTCATTAAGTTAAGGTTAACCTCTAGTCTTAATAAAACAATACAAGATCACATGACTTATGTAATAAACTCCAAAGATAGGATTACACAAGAGAATAAGTTTGTTATCCAGATAGAAGTCAGTGGTGAGTAGGAAATCACATGGTCATGAAATCACATGGTCATGAAATGACTTCACACATGAAAATGGGATTGTAGTGTGACATTGAGCTTTAAGTCAAATTAAGTTTAGAGTTGAGGGTAACCTAACAGACTAATTAATCTGGCAGGTTCTGTGATTATTTTAATCAAATTAGAATTTCTGAAATACAAAATAATTTTAAAAGTGCTAATTCTGTTCAAAATTTATTCAGTATTTTGCAATTTGTAAAATAACATTATCATTTATCTATTATAATTTTTATCAGTACTTTATTCTAAGAAAATAAAAAAATATTAAAAAATTATAGACCTCCAGTAGGCCTAATGTATTTGCAAATCACTTACAAAAATTTAAGGGTTTCATTCACAAAATAGTGTGGGTAAGATTTATTATTTGAACTTAACATAAATTAAAAATTGTAATAAGGTAAAAAAAAGTTAATTTTTAACTATGCATGGATTACATATAACTTATCAGCACTTTATTTTAAGAAGGTAAAAAAAATACTTAAAAATTATAATGTATTTGCAAATCAATTACACAAATTTAGGGGTTTCATTCACTAAATAACGATTTATTATTTGAATTTTACATGCACATTATCATGCTATCATTCTATTTGTCAAAATCTATTTTGTATAAATGTATGAAGTATAAAGATAATTTTGCAGGTTACGTGTGGCTCAATAGCATTCAACATAAAAGGAATTTAGAAAAATAATGGGTTAAAACAATGAGCAGTGTTACGTTTGTTGAGTTATGATCAACCTCGTGACTTGTGCACACGAATGACTTACCAGCCTGGGAGGCCCCTTTGTTGGAGCCAGCTTGCAGACCAATAACTGACTGGCCTTCTTTTGACATGTCATCAGCTCTGATGTCAGCAATATGTCTCACAGCACCCATGGACATACCTAAAGGAAGTGGAAAGGGATTTAAGATTTACAAACCTACCAGCTTGGGATGCTCCCTTATTAGATCCTGCTTGCAATCCTATAATAGATTGCCCCTCTCTGGTGGTATCATCAACTCGAATATCAGCAATGTGCCGAACAGCACCGAAACCAGTCATGCCACTTTGAGATGCAAACTTATTAGTGCCAGATTGTAACCCAATTATCCCTTGCCCCTCTTGGCTTGATTCATCCACTCGAATGTCCGCAACATGCCGAACTGCACCAAAACCAGTCATCCCACTCTGTGATGCATATTTGTTTGTGCCAGATTGTAAGCCGATGATTCCTTGTCCTTCCTTGCTAGATTCATCAGCACGAATATCAGAAACATGCCTGACGGCACCAAATCCAGTCATACCAGCTTGCGATGCAAATTTGTTTGTTCCTGACTGTAAACTTATAATTGCTTGGCCTTCTGGTGTAGCATTATCTGCTCTAATATCAGAAACATGTCTGACTGCTCCAAAGCCTGTCATTCCTTTCTGCGATGCAAATTTGTTTGTTCCTGACTGTAAACTTATAATTGCTTGGCCTTCTGGTGTAGCATCATCCGCTCTAATATCTGCAATGTGTCTGACTGCGCCAAAGCCTGTCATTCCTTTCTGTGATGCAAATTTGTTGGAACCTGACTGTAGACCAATAATTCCCTGGCCTTCTAGAGTTGATGCATCAGCACGAATATCAGAAACATGTCGCACAGCACCGAATCCAGTCATACCGGCCTGTGATGCAAATTTATTTGAGCCAGACTGTAGACCAATAATTCCTTGCCCTTCAGGGGTAGACTCATCAGCTCTAATGTCAGCGATATGTCTTACAGCACCAAAGCCTGTCATTCCTTTCTGAGATGCAAATTTGTTGCTGCCATATTGTAAGCCAATAATTCCTTGGCCTTCAGGGGTAGACTCATCAGCTCTGATATCTGCAACATGCCTGACAGCACCAAAGCCTGTCATTCCTTTCTGAGATGCAAATTTATTGGAACCTGACTGGAGGCCAATAATTCCCTGGCCTTCTTGAGTAGATTCATCAACATGAATATCAGAAACATGTCGCACAGCACCGAATCCAGTCATACCAGCTTGTGATGCGAATTTGTTGGAACCTGACTGGAGGCCAATTATTCCCTGTCCTTCTAAAGTTGATTCATCAGCACGAATATCAGAGACGTGTCGAACAGCACCAAATCCAGTCATTCCAGCTTGTGATGCAAACTTGTTTGAACCAGATTGTAAGCCAATAATTCCTTGCCCTTCTAGTGTGGACTCATCAGCACGAATATCAGAAACATGTCTGACAGCACCGAATCCAGTCATACCAGCCTGAGATGCAAATTTATTTGAGCCAGACTGTAGACCAATAATTCCTTGCCCTTCTAGTGTAGATTCATCAGCTCTGATGTCAGCAATATGTCTGACAGCACCGAAGCCTGTCATGCCGGCCTGTGATGCGAACTTGTTTGACCCAGACTGTAGACCAATGATTCCATGTCCTTCTCTAGTGGATTCGTCAGCCCGAATATCAGAAACGTGTCGAACGGCACCAAAGGACATACCTATCAGAAGAAAAAGGGGAAAGAGACGGGGGGGAAAGCGCATTACTCTCTCAGAGGCAGGGACGACCTTTGCCTTTAAGATTGTCGTTGAAATAATTTCATTGGAATGGAAATTTATTTAAATTGTCTTTAACCTCTAAAAATAACAAATTCCCTACTGAGCGCTTTCAGAAATTATTCAGCATTCAGCTTTTTAAAATAACAACTGCCTTTGTAAATAAACATTAAATGTTTATGATAAGCACTTTTCAAAAAAATAAATTTTAACTTAAGTAATAAATAATTGTGATCATAAATGATGACATAAGAAAACAAAAGAAAAAAAAATCATTGTTTCCATCTCAACATAAACAAGATGAGACAGACATGCTGAGTATGCAGTTTTTTGTTTTGTTTAGGTAAGATCAGACTGTTGGCAATGTAATTCTCATGGGTGCTTACACAAACTTGAGTTGGTATCCAATTTACTGACACTGAGAGAAACTTTGTTAAACTTGTACAACTTGCAAATACATTTGATGATTGTTTACTTCCAGTGTATTAATTTGTTTGCATATAGACTGCTTCCAATTTTAAGATAACTTTTGCTAGTTATTTTGACAAATCCAATAGTGGCTGCTTGGTTGTATCTTTTAGAGATGATGTGTTTTAATCCACTGAAGACAATTACGTCACTGGAACAAATGTATGACATGCTCAAAACAGGGCAATCTGCCAAGAAGATTCAAACCAGCCAAAAGATGAAGAGGATACTGGCATTACGTGGGCATAATAGCTCACAAAAACGTAAGCGCAAAAATACAATTACTACATTATAACTTTCTTTTCTGCATAATTTAGAAACTGCTTGTAAAAAGTATAACTAAATTAGCTACATGCAATGCCAAAGTTGTAAAAATATTAAACATGCATAGAGTATACAAAGGTTGTAGAGTAAGTATTCTATCTAAAATACTGCTTAAAAATTGTTTTCTTTAATTGTAATTTTTAGCCTGACTGTAATAAAATAATTAAATTAAATAAGCTAATGTTAATCTGCAAAACAAAACAAATTCAGTATTTTTTGCTTGCGATTTTAAAAATGTAGACTTAATCATGGTGAATTTTTGTATAACTTTTATTAACTTGAGTAATAATTGAGTTGAATTAGTTTTTATTTTAAATAGTCTGTTTAACATAACAAAATTGCATAAAAGAACAACATTTTTTAAAAAGCTCAAATATGCACCTACTAGTTGATCTACTGATTGAAAAAGCTGTTTATTTCCAAAAAATACTACATATTTTTACAAAAAAATTTGTAATATCTAAACTAACACTAAGCTTAATACAAGTTTTTAGATTTAAGTTTGAGTTTGAGTAAAATAATTACATAAAAAAGGGATTTAACAATATCAATAAACCTATTAGGTGTGTTAAAAATACAAGTTTAAAAAATATTTTTAAACTTGTCATACATTATACAAATGTTATGTGGCATTTTTAAAATTAAATTTTAAATAAGCAGAAAAAACACAACATTAAAGGAAAGTTAAAGATAAAAAAAACAATCAAGATATTACATTAAAAAATATGTTAAAATGTTGGATAAAACAATTTAAAAAACTGATTTTAATTATGAGTTAATATCTGGAATAACATTTAAATGATATGGAAGATCATGATCTTTGATTTATAAATTGCTAATTATCCACTATAATTTAATGAAGTAAATAGCTTTCATACTTGCAATCAGTCTGGATAATAGTTTTGTTTTAAAATAAATTAAATGTAATTATTTGGGAAGTTAGCATACATGCTATAATGAGAAAAATGCAGAGTGATATAAGTAAAAGCTTATACAAATATGACGTTATGAAATGCAGGATACTAATAAATGTAAGATGTGAACTCACCTGCTTGAGAGGCTCCTTTGTTAGAGCCAGCTTGCAAGCCAATAACTGATTGACCTTCCCTAACCATGTCATCAGCTCTGATGTCAGCAACATGCCTGGAGGCACCAAAGCTCATACCAGCTTGTGAGGCACACTTGTTGGTGCCAGCCTGAAGTGCAAATATTTGATTCATAAAACAAAGAGTTTTTACAAGAATGTTAATCATCAAAATTGCAAATATTTGATTCATAAAACAAAGAGTTTTTACAAGAATGTTAATCATCAAAATTGCAAATATTTGATTCATAAAACAAAGAGTTTTTACAAAAATGTTAATAATCAAAATTGCAAATATTTGATTCATAAAACAAAGAGTTTTTACAAGAATGTTAATCATCAAAAGTGCAAATATTTGATTCATAAAACAAAGAGTTTTTACAAGAATGTTAATCATCAAAATTCTAAAAAAAAATGAGCATACCTGGAGACCAATAATACCTTGACCAGCTCTCAGCTGTTCTTGAGTAAATTCCACCACATGTTTCTCTGAGGGTCTTGGCCCACATGTTGGACCATTGAATCCGTTTCGCTGACTCTGTAATAAAAAGTGTGATATTTACAATAAAGATAAATACAAATATCAAATAGTTGCTTAAAGCAAACAATCCCTTACAAGTGAGGGCAATAGGACATGTCTTTATCCTCTTGCATATGTTGTTCGTAAATCAGAGAAAATAAATAGCTACTATATCAAAAGACATTCTAGAGAAAATAAATAGCTACTTTATCAAAAGACATTCTAGAGAAAATAAATAGCTACTATCAAAAGACATTCTAGAGAAAATAAATAGCTACTATCAAAAGACATTCTAGAGAAAATAAATAGCTACTATCAAAAGACATTCTTTGTACTAGTTACCTCAGTGCCAAGTTGGAGGATGGTTGAAATGACCATAGCCATATTTCTGCCATCAAAAAGATCAGCAGTAGGGAAAAGACTGTTGGAAGGCACACCATATGCTTCAGCTCCTTTCAGGAAAATCTCAATATTCTCCATCTTGCCGACAGAAAAAGTTAAATAATTTTCACAACCCTATAAAGCTTAAAACTAATTTCCACTTTAAAGTACATATTACAAATATTTGATCAATACTAATATACACAATTTTGTAATAATTAATAACTAGATACAATGTTAAGTAATTTTAATAAGGGAAATTTTGTCATCAACTTTTGGCTAAGAGTTTTCTATAATAACTGTTCATATGATTATACACACATTTCGTCATGCCAGGTGGGATCAATCCATTAAGGACAAATGCTAACGATGTGTCCCAATGGGAATTAATCACTAGAATTGTCATGGGATAAAATTATGTGGTGGGATAAATACTGGAACCATAGTTTCTAATCTGTTCTAAGGATGCCAGTTAAGTCAAATGTATCTGTCTGTCAGTTCTGTTGTTAAGACTGCAACCATCTGCCCATAGTTTACCTGTTTAAAAGGAAGAGGACTGTTGTTTCCCTTTAGTTTCACATTCCTACATGCAGGGGGAAGGTTTGGGGTGCCTGCATAAACAGCATTTATCAGTCTAAAAGAAAGGAAAACCAAAGGTTAAGATGACTAGAGATCAACTTAAAGGGGTTCACAAACCTTTGACATGTAACTTATAATAGCATATTTTTAAAATATACAATAAATCATTTGAATACCACAATGCAAGTGAATTATTATAACATTAATTAGGACAAATTGTACAATAGTTTTTAATCTTGATAAATATATTTTAATCTGTGTTTTTAAAAATAAACATTCAACATATGTAAACTAGTCCACTGTGCAGTAATAGTTTGACTTAAAATGTAAAATGTAAATATTTGACAAATTTATATTAAAATTTGGAGCTCATTAGAATTCTATATCTTTTAAAGAAGGGTAGTCTGTTATTTTAATTGATTCTTAATTTACTAAACATACCTAAAAATAATAAGCTATGTTTTAAAAGTCAATAAAAAGCAAATTTTATAATGTACAGCTAGCTGTCAATGAGTTAAACATATCTAAATAAGCTGTACATATTAAAAGCTTTTAATCCTGTCCCATTTTATAGTAAAAATACACGGCAAGCTTGTTCACAAGTAATTTGTCTCTCTTTAAAGTATATTTTAATGTTACATGTTTTAGAAACTAAATATGTCCCCAAATAATCTTAAAAAAAATAATTTTTTAAAAGTTACAAAAACTATAATGTGTGAATAACACTTCAATAACATTAAGTCTGTTGATTTTCTATCTTAAATTAACAAATTGTGTGATGTATAAATGCATATATGTATAAATAAATAAATAAATAAATAAATAAATAAATAAATATATATATATATATATATATATATATATATATATATATATATATATGTATATATATATATATATATAATATATATATATATATATATATATATATATATATATATATATATATATATATATATATATATATATATATATATATATATATATATATATATATATATATATATATATATACATATGTATGTCTGTGTGTCTGTGTGTGTGAGTGTAGGCCTATATTTCTATGTATATATGTGTGTAATTTTATTTGTGAGTTTAAAATACTATTTTGTATATTCCTGATAGCATCTCAATTCAAAAATACAATGTTTACATTGTGTCAAGTTTAAAATTTTAATTACAATGTTATTGTTACCATATAGATCTATGCAGTTATAACAGCGATCACTGCAAAATGTATTTCATTGTGCAGTGTTTAACAATGATACATAACATTTTTATTACATATATTTTGTGTCTTCTATTTCAAATTATTTTTAAAAAAGAAATTTTCCGAAGTCCTTCAAATTTGTTTGATCGGACTGCAATTTGATCAAAAAGTTGTGTACATATTTAAGATGTTGTCAAGTTTTAAAGTAAAAAATCACCTTCTAATGTAGGCCACAACAATCTAAATTATTTCTAGGTGGTATTTGGTTTTGAAAAATGCATGCATTAATAAAAACTAAAACACACCAAAAAATGAATGCAAAAACATGTTTTTAAAAATATAAGGGTTGTTTAACCATTGAGCAATAACAGTCTCTTTCATTAAGATCTGAACACATGTCTGATGCAATCAATCTTTCAGATCTATGAGTGGATTGTTTGCTCAGCTGTTTGTACTTTACAAGGTCAGGACAGAGAGGATTCTGGGAGGTTTGAACTCTGGCATGGATCTGAGGCTTCCTATGAACATACACTGTCAGCTTGTGTCACCCTATGAACATACACTGTCAGCTTGTGTCACCCTATGAACATGGCCTGTATGTATCACCCTATGAACATACACTGTCTGTGTGTATCACCCTATGAACATGGTCTGTATGTATCACCCTATGAACATACACTGTCTGTGTGTATCACCCTATGAACATGGTCTGTATGTATCACCCTATGAACATACACTGTCAGCTTGTGTCACCCTATGAACATGGCCTGTATGTATCACCCTATGAACATACACTGTCTGTGTGTATCACCCTATGAACATGGTCTGTATGTATCACCCTATGAACATACACTGTCTGTGTGTATCACCCTATGAACATGGTCTGTATGTATCACCCTATGAACATACACTGTCTGTATGTGTCACCCTATGAACATGGTCTGTATGTGTCACCCTAAGATATGGTCTGTATGTATCACCCTATGAACATGGTCTGTATGTATCACCCTATGAACATGGCCTGTATGTATCACCCTATGAACGTCTGCATGTATCACCCTATTGACAAATGTCTCCATGTATCACCCTATGAACGTCTCCATGTATCACCCTATGAACGTCTGCATGTATCACCCTATGAACGTCTGCATGTATCACCCTATTGACAAACGTCTCCATGAAGTAAATAGCTTTCATACTTGCAATCAGTCTGGATAATAATTTTGTTTTAAAATAAATTAAATGTAATTATTGACGAGACGACGTTCTCCATATATCACCCTATGAACGTCTCCATGTATCACCCTATGAACGTCTCCATGTATCACCCTATGAACGTCTGCATGTATCACCCTATTGACAAACGTCTCAATGTATCACCCTATGAACGTCTCCATGTATCACCCTATGAACGTCTGCATGTATCACCCTATTGACAAACGTCTCCATGTATCACCCTATGAACGTCTCCATGTATCACCCTATGAACGTCTGCATGTATCACCCTATGAACGTCTGCATGTATCACCCTATTGACAAACGTCTCCATGTATCACCCTATGAACGTCTCCATGTATCACCCTATGAACGTCTGCATGTATCACCCTATTGACAAACGTCTCCATGTATCACCCTATGAACGTCTCCATGTATCACCCTATTGACAAAGGTCTCCATGTATCACCCTATGAACGTCTGCATGTATCACCCTATGAACGTCTGCACGTATCACACTATCAACGTCTGCATGTATCACCCTATGAACGTCTCCATGTATCACCCTATGAACGTCTGCATGTATCACCCTATGAACGTCTCCATGTATCACCCTATGAACGTCTGCATGTATCACCCTATGAACGTCTCCATGTATCACCCTATGAACGTCTGCATGTATCACCCTATGAACGTCTCCATGTATCACCCTATTGACAAAGGTCTCCATGTATCACCCTATGAACGTCTGCATGTATCACCCTATGAACGTCTGCACGTATCACACTATCAACGTCTGCATGTATCACCCTATGAACGTCTCCATGTATCACCCTATGAACGTCTGCATGTATCACCCTATGAACGTCTCCATGTATCACCCTATGAACGTCTGCATGTATCACCCTATGAACGTCTCCATGTATCACCCTATGAACGTCTCCATGTATCACCCTATGAACGTCTGCATGTATCACCCTATGAACGTCTGCACGTATCACACTATCAACGTCTGCATGTATCACCCTATGAACGTCTCCATGTATCACCCTAAGAACGTCTGCATGTATCACCCTATGAACGTCTCCATGTATCACCCTATTGACAAACGTATCCATGTATCAACCTATGAACGTCTACATGTATCACCCTAAGAACGTCTGCATGTATCACCCTATGAACGTCTACATGTATCACCCTATTGACAAACGTCTCCATGTATCACCATATGAACGTCTGCATGTATCACCCTATGAACGTCTGTATGTATCACCCTATGAACGTCTCCATGTATCACCCTATGAACGTCTGCATGTATCACCCTATTGACAAAGGTCTCCATGTATCACCCTATGAACGTCTGCATGTATCACCCTATGAACGTCTGCACGTATCACACTATCAACGTCTGCATGTATCACCCTATGAACGTCTGCATGTATTACACTATGAACGTCTCCATGTATCACCCTATGAACGTCTGCATGTATCACCCTATGAACGTCTCCATGTATCACCCTATGAACGTCTGCATGTATCACCCTATGAACGTCTCCATGTATCACCCTATTGACAAACGTCTGCATGTATCACCCTATGAACGTCTGCATGTATCACCCTATGAACGTCTCCATGTATCACCCTATTGACAAACGTCTCCATGTATCACCCTATTGACAAACGTCTGCATGTATCACCCTATGAACGTCTGCATGTATCACCCTATTGACAAACGTCTCCATGTATCACCCTATGAACGTCTGCATGTATCACCCTATGAACGTCTGCATGTATCACCCTATGAACGTCTCCATGTATCACCCTATGAACGTCTGCATGTATCACCCTATGAACGTCTGCATGTATCACCCTATTGACAAACGTTGCGTGTATCACCCTATTGACAAACTTTGTCTTTGTGTATCACCCTATTGACAAACGTTGTCTGCATGTATCACTAAATAACAGTGCGCCACTCGGACTACAAATAGGACGTCATTCTATTCTAGATCAGGGTGAAGGACGAAGCAGCCACAAAAAGTAACAAAAATACTCTTAGGGATCGTGTAATTAGAATATAATATCAAAGCAGACATTTTTGACCATCCACTGGCCCTTATAATGCTTTACATTTTCAATACCCCCCCCCCCCCCCCCGTCTCCCAGAAACATCACAAAATTAGGTAAATTAGTTAATAACAAAGACAGTGTTATAAAACTTGGATTATCTATACCTCCTCCTACCTCATTTAACACATAACGAAATGATAAATGGCAGGATCTCTGAACAATAAAGGTTAGTTTATTTTATAGGCTTGTATGTATAAGTAGATCTTCTAATTGAGATCTTCTTTTTTTTTATAGTGGTTGTTGCATTAATTTCACAAGCAACGTTGAAATGAAAGTTTAGAATTTAATGTAATGATTACGTATTGTTTTATGCGCTTTTTAACCCCTATGGTACGATTCTAAAGGTCTGATTACTTGAGTATTACATTAGAACTAACACATGAACTGTTTGAAATTAGAACTTGTGTTTAGACACGGGGTAAAATGCCTAAATCTCTAAAGTGAAGACAACCCAACAGATTATTTTGATCACTTACTGGACAAGAATTTGGCCGTTTCTAAGTCTTTTCTCTACTTCCATGGCACCGGTTCCGATATCTTCTCCGGTGAGTTTCTGAATCCATTGTCTAACTTCCAATTCACTGCCACTGTCGTACTTAGCTGCAACCTACCAAAAAAACATCAGACATTTAATTCATCTTATAGTCTGTTTATGTCGATAATCATCAGTTAGAGAAGACTAGCTGAAGTTTACCATACCGTCTTTTATCTCATTAATTAGGCTGTAATAATTGTAATGAGCAAGTTGCCCGTGTGTTATTAAAGATAGATGCTATGAGTTGTGGAGGCCCATCGCAATAGTGACTGTCGTTAACGGTAAACTTTGCATAGATAATACATGCAGAGGCGTAGCGAGGGGGGGGGGGGGAGGCGGGGGTGCGGACCGCACCTGGTGACACCATTTATGGGGGGGGGGGGGGGGGGGGGGTTGACACCAAGGCAAAAAATAGTAAAAATATATAGAGAAAAATTTGAGAGGGGGGTGCAAATCGAAAGTTCGAGGCGGAGGGGGTGCAAATCGAAAATTGAAAGTTTGTCCCCGGGAAGAGTCGCTACGCTTCTGGGGGGGGGGGGGGGGGTTGACACCATTAAGTGCCGCACCGGGTGACACCCGACCTCGCTACGCCACTGAATACATGTAAGTTTTAAATGATCTTTTTTATGGAAACGTGACACGATCCAACTGCCTTTCAAAGTCAGCCCTGGTGTGTGTGTGTGGGGGGGGGGGTGCGATATAGACAGGGTAGAAAATGGCTGGATGGCATGGGCAAGTAGGCAGTAACAGATTCACTGAGTGCAGTAGAGGGTTGGGGTGATTGGCAATGAGTTGCGATGGAAGCAACAGTGGTTCCTCAACGACCCTCACTCCCGCGGGATGATGGGATAGGCTTGTGTATCTACAACTATCAATGAGTATCAACTGTAACTGTAATGTTAACCCTTAGCCAATAGGTCTAGCCTTAAAAACAATTTTATCCCAGAAGAAAAAGTGGGAAGAAATTGATTATTAGTATGACAAAAATAACTAGCCATATTATTTTAAATATGTGATGTCATCTAGTCTAATGATTTTAAATATGTGATGTCATCTAGTCTAATGATTTTAAACATGTGATGTCATCGAGTCTAGTTATCTTAAATATGTCTGCATGTTATCTATTTCTAAAACGATTGTCTACTCAGCGATATTTAACTTTGTGAAGTATCTCAAAAAACGTCTACGTCTCACAAGAATAACTTCTGATAACTGTGTACAGGTAGAAAAAAAATGTGTGCAGGGAGGCGGAGGGGGGGGGGGTGTGGAAAATTGTTGGACATGTTCCAACCAAGTTGAAGACAGCAATCTTTTCATCTATCTAAACTAATTAAAGGCAGGAAAAGTCATTCTAAATGAGCTGATTTAGCAAAATATTTTAAGTCCGCTGGAGCTAGTGAAAATTAGTGGGATAAAACGAAGGCCGCGAAGATTGCAAAAAAAAAAACAACCAAAAAACAACGCTATATTGGCTAAGCGTCTTAATATTAACTAATAAGATAGCAGCGTTGGAATGGTTAAACAAGTTGTTTTTTTCTACTTGTGTAATTAGCTTATTTTCAGTAGTATTGAAACAGATCTATCTAGCCCCAGTTAACACAGCAACCCCCCCCCCCACCACCCCCGTAAAACCGACTCAAGGTACCAAAATATTTCCCCATCTCTCACCTAGCCAGGAGTGAGTAACCGTTTTGTTATCTGTACCGGCCTACACTAGCAGGCCTGGCATGCACGTGCGTGCCCAGCCGCCTCTACCTACGTTGCGTTTCAAGATGTTGCTATTTTTAGACAGACTTTTTTTTGTTGAGGAAGCTTAGGCAGTTCTTCAAATTCAGCGATTTTTTGTCCAAGCTGTTAAAATATTTGCTAAGTCAAACAACACAGAGATATCTGATTTTTTTTTTTACTTTTAATATCTTTTAGAAAATACTTTACGACCCCATCAACTAAGCACACATTTAAAACAGAGATCAGTAATAGACAACTGGCCCAGAGAAGAATTGAATGATGGTTACTATTGCCGCTGTCTCGTTTTGTGCCAGGACTCGATAGTGTGCAAATGTTGATTGTCATCTAGATATAATATTTGATTGGATTGGTCTCAGATATAACACTTGATTGGATTGGTCTCTGAGATGTAACGTTTGATTGGATTGATCTCGATTAAAAACTAGCTCCTCTATTCTGGCACTAGGATCTAGAGGGTTTCAGCGGGGGTTGGGGGGTGTCTTATTTTCCTAAGGTGAGCAACAATAACTTGGGCTAAACAAAGGTTTCCAAATCATCTGCTTGTTTATAGCTTTAATGATACTCTAAATAAGTTATTATAGTCTTATCAATTTTTATTCAATAGCTACTGGGACGGAGTAGTAGGGAAGGGGGTGGGGGTGTTTTCGAGGGGGACCTGCAGACCTAGCACCACATCCTAATATAAAATCAAGCCCCTCTCCCCCAATTCCGAAAAAAAATCATACTATTTCTTCCATGTTTACAGAAGCAGTGATAGGGTAAATAAATGTTAACAATGTATAGGTCTATAGTAAAGTCTCAAAAAACTTTCTAGATATCCGTTAACAACTACAGTTTGAAGTACTCTCATTTCGACTTTTCGTCTTTAACACAAGCAAAATATTTTTAGAGAGTGGGAAGGGGGGGGGGGGGTGGAGTAAGTTTTAAAAAAATAAACCTGAAAACATTTGGAACAGCTAACTCCTGCCCCATACAACGTAGGAGCCATTCTTATTTCATCGACTATATTTAATCGATCGCTATTTTTAATGCTGAAAATGGAATTGTTTGGTTGTAAATTATCGACATCTTCTGATTTCTTAGGCATTGTCAGTCTTTTTGTTTCAAGTTCCAGGCCTACGTTAACAAGATATTTACAATAACAAAATGACAACTGACAGAAGAAAGTGATTTGATATTTAATTACACATTTCTGATGGTACTCTGCTTGTTACGCCTCCATCATTTTACATCACCAAACTTTATTATTACATTTGTTATTATTATTGTTATTATATTAGCACTGACTTTACAGGTGTCTGTAATTATCAAACAAAAACAAACAGCAACAGGCTTACCTTGGAATGAAGGGCTCTGTCCATACCCATTGGCTTTTCCCTGTTGGCCATTTTGTCCGTTGAGTTTTGTCCGGGCTACGTCCACGAGTTTCTGACAACTGGACTGGAGGATGTTCAAACCTCCGCGCTACCTCAGGCTGGCTCTCGAAAAAAGTACAAGTGTGGGGCCGTGAGCACGAGCTAGCGGTAGACAGAGGCACGCGCATAGAACGCTTAAATTCCGGGTAAATCAGGTGCCGTGCACCGGCTAAAGGTAGAAGGGGTGGTGACGCGACGTACAAGAATTAAGAAGTTGCTCCCCCCCCCCCCAGCCCACTCTTCACCTGGAGGTGTGTAGGGGTAGGGAGGTGAAAACAGTCAAAATAGGCGAAAACCTCTGTCTACCTGTGTAGATTCCTCTAGGTTTAGA